GTGTGGGGCTCAGAAGGGGCTTGGGATGGCACGCATTGCAAAGAAGGGCAGTTTTATTTTGGGGTGGGTGTGTGAATGCTTGAGTACTCCCAGGGTTGGCGAAAGGCTTTGATTGACTGGGAGAACCTTTAAATTGGCACAAAGTCTTTTGCGGGAGGGTAAAAGTGTTCCCAGGGAAACACCGTTTTCTATACACAAAAATAAAGTTTTCCTTAGCTTCCCAACTTGGATTTACTGGTGAGGGTCAGATTTTTGGAGAGACCTGCCTTATTTTCGTTTTTTCCTTCGGATCAAAAGGCAGCCTTTTAATTTAGCACCCTGCTTACGAATATGTGTAGGACGGCTTTCAATCCAGAGAGGCTTTGGGGGGGTCTGCTTTCAGATTCCCAATTCAGACCGAAGTTGGAGAGGGAACGGGAACACACAAAGAAATACGTTGCCATTGATTTTGCACGCTTTGTTTAATCTGTCTCACCTCCCTTCTCTCGAGCAGCGTCTGCAAGGTTTCCATCTTTTCTCCCATTCATGCACAGCAGCCCGGGCTGTATTATCACGATGGGCGAAACCCACTCTGAGTTGGCTCAAGTTGTTGTTATGTGAGATGACACTTTTGCTCCAGACCGGCAGATTTGGAAGTCGGCCTCAAGGGGAGAAGGACTCCTTTCCTGACCTCACAAAGAGCCCCTTCTGGACCCGTTAGGTCTGTTTCTCGAGGACATGTCACTCTTGGGTCCGAGCCCAGACGGGCAGCTGCGGAGCGTGTGATCCGCTGATCATGGAGTGACGAAAGTGGATCACGAAACGGGAGCAGGTGTCTGGTGGGGCAGAAGTTCCAGAAAGTGGTGCTAAAGTCTCCCTCCGTGGATGAACACAAATGAAGGAAAGCTGGGAGTAAAAGCTCATTTTTTTTGGACCGCGGTTCCAGAATGCACCAGGGAGTTGCTAGCCCTTTCCAGCTCCAGTGTATTCCCAGTCAGGGTGGCTACTTGCCCAATACATTTAGTGCCTAGGATTTCCCATCCTTCAGGCCTCTGACCTTAATTCCTTAGCAACCCAGCTGTGAAATGAATATCTCCCTTTATTTATTCTCTCTTCCTGTTTACACTCACTCACCTTCCCCCCCCCAAAAAAAGAATGCCATTTGGGTTTTTTGCTTTGCTTGCCCCATCCATCCTCCTCCCCTTTGAAAATAAAAAGGGATTTAATTGAGCCTAGCAACTGAACTTGACTGCGAGGACAGGTTTCACTAAAGACCAGCAGGACAGACCAAAGGCTTCTATTACAGCTCACTTATCAGGTTCTACCTGTTGTTGTTGTTGTTGTTGTTGTTTTAAAATCATGTGGTGAACTGCTTTGTGTCTCAGTTTCAGAAGACAGGCAAGATATACGACAGATGGATGAAGCAGCCTTGTGTCCTTCTGCATTTGACTTTATGCTTCCTGCTTTTGGGGGTTTAAGATATTTTAAAAAGGGAGGAGCGTGTGAGATAATCTGGAAACAGAACTGCAGTTAACTGGAAATTTGGTAAATCCTGAATATGCCAAGCATCCATTGAGGTCTGATCATCTTTGTGTCCCTCCGATTGGGGAGTGATCCTATGCGGAAATAGAGGCCGTTTCAGACTGCTTTATGGAGTGCTCTGGTGCCATCTATTGCCACATGAATGTATGGGAAACGGCACTCCAGCCTGGCCCGGATCCATGCCCAAGCTGGATGCTTTTGCTCCACCTGTAGGACTTCTACCTTTCGGGGCTGAGCTGGACTGATTCCAGGAGGCTTGTTTTCGGAGAGATCGCTTCCTGGAAAGAGCCACCCTTTGCAAAAGTATAACCTGATAAATGTTGGCAAGTTTTGGGACCGAGTCCTGGTCCTGAGTCCAGGTCTTGGGTACCAAGTCTGAGTCCTTATTATTAAAAACAGCGTGTGGGTTCCGCATTGCGCGTTGAGCCCAAATCATCGGGAAAAAACAACCCAAGCCAAATCTGGGTTGCGTCACTGGTAGGACTTAAGTCCGGCTTGACAGCAAGTCCCCCCCGTCTCAAGTCCCCATCCCGGCTTTTTGGTGCCATCGGGTGTGTGCTTTTGCAGTGGTCTGCACTAGACAGCCCTTAAACGCTCCCACTTTTCTGCACTTCGTACTGTCTAATTTCAGCCGCTAAGCAGGGTCCGGACTGGGTTTGTCCTTGGGTGAGAGAGGGCTGGGGAACACACGGACGCTCCAGGGAGGGCTAAGAAAAGATGCTGCCTGGAGCCCATAACGAATGTGCCCTGAAGCAGGGTTGCCAAGCCTGGTCTGGATGGACGGAGACTTTAATCCTAAGCAAGGTGCTCCATCCGTTCCCCTGCCTTAGACAACCAAATGCCGTAGACCGTAAGTTGACAAATCTTCTGTCCTTCTATCACCTTCTTTTTACAGATATGCTCCAGTTGATCACGGCCGAAGACAATGACTTCCCCGGTCTGTTTGATTCGTCCTTTGGCACAAACGCTCGTGCAGAACCCAACCCGCACGGACCTAGCTTGTTCAGTGGCTACCTGGGGGCTAGCCAACCCCCTGCCTCCGGCTTCTTCCAGCTTCCAGCGCCGCCGCCAAGCTTCCACCCCCCTCTGGCGGCAAGCCCAACCCCAATGGATGTCAAGGAAGAGCCGGTGGCCGCAACAGGCGCCAGCCACCCGACCCAGCTCCCTGCGGCCAGAATGGCGTCCCCGACTTTCGTTCCGGCCACCAAGGCCCAGTTCGCACCACAGCCTCCAGTGGGCTTCTCCAGCCCGAAAGGTATTCATTCCCGTTGCATACATTGTATCTTTTCCAATGTCTTGTTTCGGGTAACATCAAACGCCACCGAAGAAACCAGCAGATAAGCGAAATCAGTCTGTTCGTACTGAAATTAGATCTATGTTTCTCAGCCTTTTTTAAAATCCATGCCCCAACATTTGATAAACATTTAAAAAACAAACAAACCAGAATGCCCTTCAAACCCTGTAATCCAGTAATCGCATCTGAAAGTTGAAACACTGTACAGTACTTAGCAGCAAAACAATGCATTTGTAAAAGGTTGGGGAAATATTTATTCCAATTTAATTTGCACTGTTTCGCAGTATTGGACGCCATAGGATGATAGAATAAGCTGTACTAAAGAAAACAGTCGGCATCATTGTTTGGTTTTCCATTTCCCTGCAAATAAAGTTAAAATATAGGTGATGGAACTTCCTGTCTCATGAATTGCACACCCTTCCCATGAAAGCTTGATACTCCATGGTGAGTGTGTATGTTGGGGGGGGGAGTATGGCCAGCTGGTTGAGCTTCAAAGAATTAAAACTCACACACACACCGTGATTGAGAGAGAAGATAAATATGATATTTTGGCTGAGATCCTGGTTGCTTTTAGTGCCATCCACTGCCCTAGAGAAGACCCACTGAATCAGTGTAGACTTGGTGAGCCGACTTGTCCATAGGGATTTAGTGGTCTTACTCTAGTTGCAACTGGCTACGCTAAGTAGTGGGATGTCAGCCTTTGGTTCACACAAGATCGTAATGGATACCCCACCTTACAAATATTACCCTTTAAGGATCTTATCGATCGCCCCCCTCCAAACAGAAATGGCTTGGAGCGCTGTGCCCCTCTTAGGTCATTCTCGGTCTCCCTTCCCTTCTTTCAGCTTCCCAACCGGGAGGGCACCAGCCTGCATCGCCTCCGACGTCCCTCCCTGCTCCGACTCAGCAGACCCAGCCTGCCACCCCTATGCAGACACCGCTCCAGAGCATCGCCCCTCAACCGGTGCTGACCACCACTGCCGCTCAGGTCGTCCATCCGCAGATACAGCAAGTGCCGGTAAGAAAAAGAGCAGGCAGCAAAGTCTGTTTCTTTGCTGGCCAGTCCGACGTACAGCATCAGGAGCACCCTTTATTTCAAGGCTGAAGAAACCTTCACTTGGGTGGGAAGTCATGTTGCAAAGTTTTGCATTTCTGGTTAAATTCCCCTAGCTATGAAGTACTGCGGGGAGTCACGGAGCAAAGTTAGCTTCCCGTTCCTCCCCAGAGTAGTCCACCCTTTTGCTCATTCGTTGACACTTGCAGTCTCAATAACTCACTCTGAGACATTAGTAAGAGAAAGAATAAAAAGTTTCGTTCGATCAACAGCAAACTGACAGACGCGACTGCTTTCAGCAACAGACTTCAGCAGACTTTAGAGAGGGAGAAGAGCATTGAATAGAGAGGCGGGTCTCTCTTTGATTTCAGAGGCAGGGAAGAGAATGATTGGTTAATGCTGTTCATGATGGACAATCATCACAGTCCAGAAAGTTCCCCTGCCAGCCAAACCTACTAAAGGCAGCATGCGAGATTCGGGGGGGAAAAATCCAACAATACAAGTTTCACCATGGCCAGGTTGTTTTTCAAAATCATCTGTCATCCTCTTCATTGCTTCATCGTCCTCTTGGTGAGCTCTGTTCTGTACCAACGTCACCCCTTCCTCTTCTCCGCAGGTCCTTCTGCAGCCTCACTTCATCAAAGCTGACTCGCTGCTTCTAACGGTTTCGGCAGCCAAAACCTCTGGCATCACCTCTCTGGCCACCACCACGGCGGTCCCGTCAGCCCCTCTCCAGATGCCCGTAAGTCCTGCCGCCTCCTCAAAAGTCTGCTGTGCCCCCCCTTTTTTAAAAAAGCTGCCAACCTCTTTAGAGCTGTGATTTGGGAGAAAGGGTGGTGTTAATTGATAATGGATCTGCCAAAGGGCCAGGGCGAATGGGGCATCAATGGAGCAATGATTTTTAGGAGATCCACTTCAACTTTTTAGACTTGGATGGAGGGGAAAGACCACCACCCCCCAGTAGGAAACCAAGGAAATCCTCAAGTGGGCATGGCCGGATCAATGGCTCTCAATGGCTCTTGGTCATGATGATGGGTATCAACCGAGGGGGGGGGACTTGCTCCCTGATAGTCACACCTCCTCTTATGCTCTCATTCAGGCTCTGGTGAGCGGGGGTACCATCCTGGCAACGGTACCACTGGTGGTGGATACGGACAAGCTGCCCATCAACCGTCTGACTGCCGGGAAGCCGTTGGTGGGCCAGAATAAAGGCGAGAAACGCACCGCGCACAACGCCATTGAGAAGCGGTACCGCTCTTCCATCAACGACAAGATTGCAGAGCTGAAGGATCTGGTGGTGGGGACAGAAGCCAAGGTACGCCTGCCGGTGATGCTCTTCCACGAGGTGGTGGAAAAGGAGTTCTTGGCGCCTGCTGGTTGCTCTCTCCCTCAACCATAGCCTCTTTTCTGAAAGGTCCACAGCGTCGTCCTCTCCTTGCTGTGGCCATTCAGATGATGAGGGTGTAAAAAAACCCTAAGGCTGTTTTTTTTGTCCTGCATGAAAAAGTGTGTTTCGATCCCTCGTGGCACGTGATTCGAAAGAACAAGGCCGCCCGTACAAATTTTCCTGCTCCTAAATGAGTGAAAATACCAGCATTATTTTGCTGTTGGTTTCAGCAAATGCATTTTGGGAAAATCCATCTGTCTTGCATTCCGTGTGGGAAACCCTTGTATTTCCCCCCCCTTTCTGGTGACGTCTCCGTGACCACCAATTTCTCCACCCTCCGTCGGCAGCTGAACAAGTCGGCCATTCTGCGGAAGGTGATTGACCACATCCGCTTCCTGAAGCAGGCCAACCAGAAGCTGAAGGCGGAGAACATGGCCCTCAAAATGGCTTCTCAGAAGAACAGTGAGTCTCAGACCTCTTGGTCCTTTGGGGGGGGGGATCAGAGCCAGCCTTTGATGGACTATGAGGGTGTGGGGCTGATAGCTAAGGCCACCGTGTCATACCTTCTGGTACGTTAGGGTCCACGTCCAATATTTTGCAAGATCGCTTGATTTACCTCCAATGGCATTTTCGCTCAGCACATGTCAGAAAGGGTTGAGAGCCCTCAGGAGACATTGACGCTCGTGGTCAAACATGGAGGCGCTCCTGCCTTAGTTTTTTATTTTGGTGCCATCTCTTAAATCGTGGTCAGTTTTGGTTCTTGGTTCACGACTCTCCCACCTCCACAGCGTCCCTGAAAGACCTGGTGGCCAACGGTGCCGGGAACACGGAGGACACGGCCGAAGGGATCAAGCTGATGGACGCCCTGACGCCACCTCCGTCGGATGCAGGCTCCCCTTCACGCAACAGCCCGCTCTCCCTCAGCGGCACCAGTGGAAGCGACTCGGAGCCAGAAAGCCCCTTCTGTGAGGAGGCAAAGGTGCGAGCGGAAAAGCTAGTTGGAGAACGGGGTGTGTGGGTGAAAGAGCCAAGAAGAAACTGGAGGGAAAATAATAGGATTTCCCTCAGGAGGAACCTGTTTTGATTCTCTCCACAGGCGGACCTCTGTTTGAGGGACTCCTGTTTTGCAATGTTCCCATCACAGCTTGAAAATTTATTCATTCCCCCATTCAGGCTAGTCGAGGGTGGCCCAGGTATTTTCTGCAGATCTGCCCAGTCTTGTTTGTTATTCTTGTTCTTTCCTTTTCGCAGGTGAAGCTAGAGCGGCCGGCACTCTCCCCAAACAGCTTGGGGATGCTCGACCGTTCCCGCTTGGCGCTGTGTGCGTTTGTCTTTCTCTGCCTCTCTTTCAACCCCCTCTCCTCTTTCCTGGGAGGCTCTGGCTCCGTGGCCCCTTCAGACTTAGCTGGCGCCAGCGGCCCTGGGCGCAGCATTAAGTCCGAGAATCAGGCTCAAGGTGAGTGTGGGGCTGAGAAAACGGGTGTGTGTGTGTGTGTCCCACGGACAGAGAACCTGCGCGTTGGGTTCAGCCTTGTGCAGAGCGCCAGCTCATCGAATTTGGGATCTGCTCTGGGCTTTTATCTGTACTTTACGACCGCTATCCAAAATCCACCGCAGTAGCTTCAGCACTCTGGATAGCTCCGTGAATGTTCAGACTAAAATATCCATTTAAGGAAAGAAAGATAGTACAGCTCAAGTTCTTGGGGGAAACAACAAGTAATGGCCAAAACCCTAGCCTGCGAAGTCAGACTAAAATATCCATTTAAGGAAAGAATTAAAGATAGTACAGCTCAAGTTCTTGGGGGGAAACAACAAGTAATGGCCAAAAACCTAGCCTGCGAAATCGAGAGTCACTGGTGTAGAGGTCCCTGTTGTTTAGGACAGATTATGCTGTATTTTTGCCCGAGATGGGATAACGGTGAAGATTCTTCTACTCAAGACTCCGGGTTTGAATTCTCCCGGAGAGCCATAAAACTCACAGGGTGATCTTGACATTTTCTTTCTCGCTCAGCCAGTCCTCCCTCTTAGAACTCTGGTGGGGATTGCAACAGGGCAAATGGAAGTACTGAGTGTCTTTTTAAGGAAAAGCAGGATGTGACTATATCCCTTTGCGTCTCTATGCCCAGATGCTCCTGTCACTTGGTCTCAGTGGCTTCTCCCGACCATGGTCTTCTGGCTGATCAACACGCTGGTCATTTTCGGCGCCTTCGTCCGGCTCTTTATTTACGGGGAGCCCATCACGCGGCTCCACTCCGAGTCTTCCGTCCTCTTCTGGCGACATCGCAAACAAGCTGACCTGGATTTGGCACGGGTAAACATTTGCCTTGAGCTGGCTGGATAGTTCAGTGGTTTCAGCATCTGGCTGCGGAGCCAGAGGTTGGGAGTTTGATTCCCCCCACGGGGCCTCCTCCCAGTAGAACCAACCCGTGTAGCCTTGGGTGTAATCCTAGGGTACCCCTGGAAGGGTGAACCACTTCTGAGCCTTCTCTACCTTGAAAACATTGAAAAAAAAAGATTGCCGTAAGTCAGAATTGACTTGATGGCAGATAATAATAATTATTAAACATTTGACTTTATTTTGGAGTGGATGAGTTGTTCTGTATCCACTTTGTGCGCCAGTTTTCAATGAATTCTGTTGTCTGTCCTGTCCAGTTTGAATCTGTTCTGAAAAACTTCATGGGAAAATTCGCCTTGATTTTTTTTTCCTTTGCAACTTTCTTGAATGTGCAGATTTAAAGGCCTTTTTACAGGCTTTGCTCTCTAAACGGGGACTGACCTCATCTTTCTTGCCTTGCCCTGTTAAGGAGAAAGGCGGGGTAAAAAAATACTTCAAATCTATAAATTAATAAATAAATGGTCATTCTGCCAGCCAGCAGGCCGTTGGTGTTTTCAAAAATTTGGCAACTGTTGGTTCTGTTTTGAGTTCAAAGGGCTTTTCATAGACTTCTTTTGTGTTGTTTTTTTCCTCTGTCTGTTTCAACAGATGTGTTGAAAATTCTTTCCAGTTCATAAGCATTTTCATATGGATAACGTCCTGTATGTATTTGTCTGGAGCTTTTTTTTAAAAATAAATCTCCAGGTGCTCAAGTCGTGTCACAACTGGAGTCCTACTTCTGGGGAAAAGGCAGGATGCCATTCCGACAGAGAGGTTGATTCAAATGTGTTTTGTACACAACTTTGGAGCAGAGAAGAACCACATTGCAAAATCTGGCAGCCGTGGTCCAATGTGCATGTCAAGCTGAGAAGTGTGAATTAAATTGGTTTCATCCGAAATGCAGACCATGTGAAATTCGCCATCCACTCTACGCTGTAGGATGTTATGTGTACAATCTTGGTAGAATCCGGATTCTCTGATTTCAAAGGATCCTGGAATCCCCTCTGGATTTCAGACCTGAGATTTGGCATGTGGAGCTGTCCACGGTGCTGAAACTCTTGGTTTTTTTTTTTATGAGATTGGAGGCACCAGCCCTTCTTGCTTTGTTCTTAGAACCGTAGAACTGTAGAATAATAAAGTCGGAAGGGACCCTCTAAGGCCATCGAGTCCAACCTACTGCTCAGGCAGGAATCCAAATCAGAGAAGGTCTGTAAGGCCATCGAGTCCAACCCACTGCTCAGGCAGGAATCCAAATAAAAAAAGGTCTCACCGAGGGTGGTTCCATTTTCTCTTGAATTCCTCCAGCGTGGGAACGCTCACCAACTCCCGAGGTCATAGGTTCTGTTGTCGTACTGGTCGAACAGTTAAGAAGCTTATCCTAATATCGAGCCTGAATCTCGCTTGAGCCCTCTTGCGTGTCTTGCATTCTGGAATGATTGAGAACTGATCCTGCACGTCCACTGTATAATTAACCTTTCGAGTGTTTTAAGAGGCTCTCCTACTGCTTGAGCCCTCTTGCGTGTCTTGCATTCTAGAATGATTGAGAACTGTATAATTAACCTTTCGAGTGTTTTCAAAGGCTCTCCTACCTCCCCCCTCAGTCTTCTTTTTCTGAAGGCTAAACAGGCCTAGTTCTTCACAAGGCTTTGTCTTCCCGCTTCCCTCAGGGCGATTTTGCTCAGGCGTCCCAAAACTTGTGGATGGCGCTCAAAGCCCTTGGCCGGCCGCTCCCGACGTCCAACTTGGACTTGACCTGCAGTCTCATATGGAACCTCATACGGCACGTGCTCCAGCGCCTCTGGGTGGGCCGGTGGCTAGCCGGGCGAGCTGGTGGGTTCTTCCGTGACCAGGAACTCAAAGCGGACGTGCGCAAGAGTGCCTGCGACGCTGCGCTGGTCTATCACAAGTTGCACCAGCTGCACATGACAGGTAATATAATTGGGTCACCGCCCGAGGGGCTCAGAGGAATCCTGAGCATGTACAGAAGCCCCTTCCCTAACTACTGAGTAAATAAAAAAAGTGCAGTCCCCTACTTAACGTCTTAGCTCTTTCTTCTTGGATTGACAGTCTGGAACGCCATGATTTCTGCCTGGAAATGGCGAGAATTTCCAGAACTTTATCCATTTGGCCCCAGGGTGGAGAGCCTTCAGCCATGGGGCTGAATGCAGCCCAGGTTGGCCCTCTGAGGTTCGCCATCAGCCTGTATTCCCTTTTCTATGATACTAATTTTTGGTGCTTTCCGAGCTTCTGTAGGGGGTTTGGCCGTGCCCTGTCCCAGCTCCATATTGACTAGCTGCGGAGGTTTTCTTGTGGTTTCTGCGAAGGGTCTACTAGAAACTCCAAGGATTGAACGTGGACCTTTATGCGCGTCATTCCTGGTTTCTACCATGGTGTTAAGGTCCCTCCGCCACACCCCCTCTTTCCTGCTCCCGAAACAAAGCTTGGGGGACCCCCTAGCTGAGAGCCTCGGCTGACCTTCAGCTCCCACGGCACTTCAACTTTTTGGGGAGGGAGCTGGGGGTCTCCATCATCAACTCACGGGTCGCCTCCTTTTCTTCCCTCCCAGGCAAACACGTGGCGGGACACTTGTCTGCCATCAACATGGCCCTCAGTGCTGTCAATCTGGCAGAGTGTGCGGGCGACACCATCTCTGTGGCCACCCTGGCCGAGGTCTACGTGGCAGCGGCGCTGCGTGTGAAGACCAGCCTCCACCGGTGCTGTCATTTCCTGGCAGTAAGTTCGGGGTGTTTGGGTTTGTGTAGGGAGAAGGAGCAAGCTCCTGACCTCCGTTTGGGGCTGGCCTGTCCATCCAGGCAGCTATTCTTGGGCTCCTCGGTGGCTTGTGTTATCTCTTCTCTATTTTTTCAACAGAGCGATGAGCCAAGCCAGTCTAGGGTAGCAGCTAGGTTGTGGGACCGGGTTCTAGATCTGGCTTCTAGAGTCTCATTCAGGACCCCACTGAGCCCTTGAAACTCATGGGACAACCGTAGACCTGGTGCTCTCTCTTTCTCTCCTGACCTGTCCTATCTCTCCCCATATCGGGGTAAACATGGAGATATTCCCCACATTGAGTTCATTCAAGGAACGTGCGTTTGGGTGATATTTAAGGCCAGGGTTGCAGAAGGGAAATGGCCACTTCTGCGTTATATAAGTCGAGGGAAGGACTGATGGAGGGGTAAGCAGTTTCTGCATGGCAGGGAAGGCGTTCATGCATTCTGGAGAAGAGTATGGGATTAATGTGTTTTCAGTGCATTGTAGGTCAGTGGAGATTCGACTTACAGACTTTTCGACTTGCAGCCACCGTTCCAATACAGATTAATTCCTTAAGTAGAGGGTCCACTGTATCGGGGTAAACATGGAGATATCCCCCAAGTTGAGTTCATTCAAGGAATGTGCATTTGGGTGATATTTAAGGTCAGGTTTGCAGAAGGGAAATGGCCGCTTATGCGTTACATAAATTGAGGGAAGGACCGATGGAGGAGCAAGCAGTTCCTCCGTGGTAGGGAAGGCATTCATACGTGGCATTGATCGTCAAACAAGAGAGCCATTTTGGAAAGCTAGAACCTGCAAAGGCCTGAACAAATTTGATGGTCTCAACTAGAGTAGACCTATTGACCCAGTGGGATTTGCTCACCATTCTGCCCCGGTTACATAAATTGAGGGAAGGACCGATGGAGGAGCAAGCAGTTCCTCCGTGGTAGGGAAGGCATTCATACGTGGCATTGATCGTCAAACAAGAGAGCCATTTTGGAAAGCTAGAACCTACAAAGGCCTGAACCAATTTGACGGTCTCAACTAGAGTAGACCTATTGGGATTTGCTCACCATTCTGCCCCATGGCGTTGACACCATTCTGCCGTTGAGTCATAGGGTCTACTCTAAGCAATCCGTGTCAGGGGAACGTTCCACTGGTTCCTGCCTGGTTTCCTCTAATCAGATCGGAACAGCCAGGCGGTCCTCTTGGGCTCTCCTTCTGCTTCTCTGACGTGGCCTTTCCCTTTCGTGGCACAGCGTTTCTTCCTCAGCAGCGCCCGGCAAGTGCTCCTGTCCCACAGCGGGACGGTCCCTCCCGCTCTCCAGTGGCTGTGCCACCCGGTCGGGCACCGTTTCTTTGTGGACGGCGACTGGGCTGTGAAGAGTTGTCCTCGGGAGAGCATCTACAGCTCCACCAGCAACCCAGGTCTGTGGAGGGCGAGGGCTAAGGGGATGCAGGAGGGGAGGGGGCACCCGATATAGGGAATGGGGAGTCCTGGATTCGAATCCCCTCTCAGGGGTGGAGCTCCTGGATGGTTCTTTCTCAGCCTCACATCACAGCATTGATGTGAGGGTAAAATGGACAACCACGGAGGAAGGCTACCCACCACACGTCGGGGCAAAGATGGTGAACCTCATTCACCTCAAGGGCCAGATGAGTGTTGTAGCGTTCTATCACTCAAGCACTCTAGAGGTGGGTGGGCCAAAAAGGGAAAAGGTGGGACCTGAAATACCCGCCTGTTCTTGTTTAAAGCTATTACTTCCTGGGGAAGCATTTTGCTTAATTTAGAAGGTGGGACAACATCCAGAGGTTGGGAAGGCCTTCAAGAACGACACCGTTATGGGGGTACGGAATAGACCATCTGGGGATCCCGAGAGGATCGGACTCAGTCCTGCAAGAGCCAGATTTGGCTTTTCTTGCCCTTCAAGAAAGCGTTAAGCAAAATTGAGTCGAAGACTTCACAGCTCATGCATGGGAGAAGGTGGGGCTCTTCCATTGATCGGTACCCCCGAGTTCAAGGTACGCTTTGCATCACATGGGGGGGGGGAACTCCTCTGTAACAAGGCGTCTTTTCCATTCCCAGCGGACCCTCTGGCTCAGGTGACTCAACTTTTCCGGGAACATCTGCTGGAGAAGGCCCTGCTCTGCGTCTCTCGGCTGGAGAGTCAGACGCCCGTCAGCCACGACGAGGGGTAAGTCGGGGGGAGAGAGAAGACTCCACCTCTCCCAAGTATGTGCGCTTGGATGGATAGGGTTTCTTTTGAGTCGCTCCCCTCTGGGAGGACCAGACCCTCCCCACATCAGTTGTAAATCTTATTCCAATCCGACGAAGCCCGCGTCAGGTAAAGCTCTTGGCACTCCACGCGGGAAGCAATATTCTGGATACACCTTTGATTCCTCTCTCTCTGGTCTCGTTACAGGGAGTTCTCCGACGCGTTGGAATACCTCCACTTCCTCAACAGCTGCGCGGACGCTGTTCCCAGCCCGATGCCCTCCATCAGTACCAACATGGATGGTGCCACAGGTGGTGATGCCCTGGAGTTGTGCTGGGCTGGGAGAGGAACAGGAGACGGGAGGAGCAGATCTAAAAGGGTGGCCTGAAGTCTCAAGGGTTTGGGTTAGCATTCAGGGCAGGAGCCTGCCTCCCTCCGTCGGTAGACAATCAGGATGAAAGGACGGCCCCAGTCATTTCTTGAATTTTAATCTTATTTATTAGACCAATGAGTGGGAATGGAGGCAGGGTCTGTTAAGGGCAGCGGTTTTTCGGTGTTTTTTACCCCCCCCAGCTGACCCCATGCAAGGGATGACTATGCATGGCTCTTTCACCACTCTGGAATCAGTACGGATGTAGTCGTGTTAGTGGCCTTAGTGGATAGAGTGATAGACTAGGGCTCCGGAGATGAGGGTTCGAATCCCCGCTCATCCCTGGAAATTCACTGGGGGAGTGTAACTGGCAAAACCACTCCTTAAATATCTCAGGTACCTTGGGAAACCCTACTAGGGTCACTATAATAAGTCTATTCTGACTCAAATATAACTCTTAGAGTTAGTAACAAATGGTAGCTTATTGTAGTTTTACAAAGCAGGACTTGGAGGGGATGGAGAAAGGCTATCAAAACTGCGGGGATAGCTCAGTGGTTGAGGTTGACTGTAGAGCTAGAGGTTGGGAGTTCGATTCCCCCACTGGGCCTCCTTGACAAAGGCTGGATGATCCACAGGGTCCCTTCCAACTCTGCAGTTTTAAGAGTATGATGATGATGTTAGTGGTAACATGAAGCTCTGTTTTCAGAGATCATCTAGCTCTGAATGTCAGATGTTTGCAGATTTCCCAGAGAGACCTTCGGCTCTCCTGGGTTTGAAAACAGGAGGATGGTGACATCCAGAGTTTGGGAAGGTGCTTGGGCAAAATGTCTCGGCCAGCTTGGCAGGGAGCGATGCCAGCTGGAGATCCAAAAGAGAACTTCTTTAAGGGATGGACGGACGGATGGGCATTTGGTTTGTTCCAAGTAGAGATAGGTTGAGGTCGTGTTGAGAAAGGCATGGGCTTGTGTGGCGTGGGTGTTTGGAATTAAGGGTGGAAAGTAGAGGTGGGCACGAACCGGTTTGTCCCAGTTTGGCAAGGTGGTCTCTGTTGCTCCCCTGCCCTGCCTCCTCAGTCAGCCACTCACCGGGCCCAGCGTGGTCGCTTCCAGCCCCTCCTCAACAGATCTTCCAGTCCCAGCAGGAGCTCAGCCTTCTCAGCTGTGCCTTCGTCGGCTGATCTCCCACTCGGACCAGGGTAGAGAAGTCTGTGCTCTTGCTCGTGACGGGGAGATGAGCTGAAGAGGTGGGAAAAGCAAGCAAGCCGGGCCTGGCGAGGGGCTGCTATCAGCTGAAGGCGCAGGGAAGAAGAGCAGCCGCCTTGACGAACCGGGACGAACCGGCTCATGCCCATCTCTAGTGGAAAGCCTGGAGCGAGATGCTTTCAAGTAGTTTGGATCGCCGCGGCCTGAGGCTGATGGACAGGTACCTCCCACCAAGGCAAGGTGGAGAACAAGGATATAGCCATCTGGGGGGCCAAGGAGCCTGGTTTGCTAACCCCAGAGGTGTGTGTGTGTGCATTGACAACATCAGCCAGGGGCTCATTCCTCCCCCCCCTTTCCCCATTTGCTCTGTCTTCCAGGCACGGACCCGGTGGCTCACTGGTGGGCATCCGTGGTTACCATGGTGATCCACGGCCTGCAAGGGGACGACGAGGCGGTGGAACGCCTGTACCCTCTGGTGGAGTCGATGCCCAGATCTCTTCAGGCGCTGGAGTAAGTGGGCCGCTGGGAGACAAAGCCTTACAGGAGGTGCAGGCCAACCTGGCGGGCTGAAGGGGTCCCCTTATTTCGCCCGCGCCCCCCCTCCAGGATTCCACTCTGGGGCTGTCTGTCTGTTTCAGATCCCTTGTGTGGGATGGATTGCGGGGGGCCATGATTTTTCTGACGGGAATTGATCGGGGTGGACGCGTGACCAGCTTGCCCTGTCTTTTCCCCACTTGCAGGAACCCTCTTCCCTGGGCTGCGCTCCACACCTTCAAGGCCACACGGACGCTCTTGGGCAAGCTGGATTCCTGCTTGGGCCAGTGCGACAAAGCCGGGGACTACCTGCGCGACAGTTTGGGAGGGAACGCCTCCGCCAGCGCCCTCGACCGAGTGAGTTATGGGGCGGGTTTTTGGGGCCGTCCCGGGGCGGGGGTCCTCTGGAGGGGGCGACACCACCACGTTTGGAATTTGGGGAGACGTGTTGGGGGAGGGCGACGCACCTCGATCTCCCTGGAGGCGGGGCCTATCACAGAAGGGGAGGAGCCTATCCCCTGGATTGGCGGGCTGGGATTTGGGATGGCCCCCCGATGCCTGGGATTCGGGGCAGAGCTTGGCAGGCCATTATAAAAAAACCCTTCCCGTTATTTGGGACAGTGTTTGCCAGTGGAATAATTGATGCTGCTTCTTATACTGTAGGAGAAAAGTAACTTGTCTTACTGCCTATTGCCTTTTTTGTCGCTTGGGGCAGGGGCTTAGACGCCTTCAAAAATTCCTCTTGAGATTTCCTCTAGAAATGCCCTTTTCTAAGCTAGTTCGCACCGAAGAAGACTTTTCTCTCCATCCCCGTTTCTACACTTTGGATCCAAAAGGGCCACCTGGTGTGTCTCATTTTTGAAAGTCCGTGGAAAGAAACGGCTCCTACCCTAGATTACGAGCTGTTTGGTCCACGCAGTTCCCTCAAAATTGTTCTCGTGTGAAAAGATTTGTGGGGAAGACAAAAAAATAAAGTGTCGCCATCTTGGCAGGCCGGGGGGGGGGGAAGGTTTTCATGATTTCTCATTTTCGTAAAGAAGCCAGGTGCTTGCGTCCTCCGAGGAAAAGAGAAAAGGGGGTCTCGAGGGTTGACGGTCTGAGCCAAGAAGACTTCCCCCCCCTCCTGCTCTGGTTCTTATTCCGCACCCGTCCACCTTCTGATGTTCCCGAGAACCACCCGTCGGGCACCCCCCGGCAGCACCGGCGGTTGCAGACACCGGGACGATGTGGTGCAGCGGAGGTTGTGTGTCCGTGTCGGGAGTGCATTGTAGTTGCATTGCATGTGAGGCCACAGGTGTGCAATGCCCCTCCAGTGCAGCCCCGAGGCGGCTCTGTAACAACAGGTGGGCTCCGGGGGGGCCACGGGGAGGTGGCCGAAAGAAGAAAGGAACCGCAAAGGCCCTCTTTCGGGTGGAAGAGGGGGAGCGGACTCTTCTCTCTTCGTGGTCCCTGGGCTTTCTGGAAAGGGTGTGTGTGTGTGTGTCTGTCCCAGCAACACGTCATCCTCATCAGAGTGGGAAGGTCTCTTTCTGGACCACACTTCCCATCATCCCCTCACTGTCGGTGGATTCTGCGAATCGTAGTCCAGGAAAGGCAGTTTCCCCCCCAAGCCGATCAGGCAAAAACAAAATAATTTAAAAATAAATAAATAAATGAAGAAGACAAAAAAGTGGCCCCTTAAAGAGGAGCGGCTGTATTTTAATGGGAGCTTTCATGGACGAGTCTATTTCCCCAAGTGTTTCTCAAGCTGCGATCTTCCTCCTTTTGTGTTTGTTTCAGCCACGCATTTTCCATCAGCCCTTGTTTTTTTCTTCCTCTCCCTCTCTCTCTCTCTCTGTTCTCCAGGCCATCCAGTTCCTCTTGTGCGACCTTCTCCTCATCACTCGCACCCGGCTCTGGCAGCAACAGATGCAGGCCTCTCAGCCCCACGGCACCCCCTACCAAGCCTCCGCCCTGGAGCTGCGGGGCTTCCAGCAGGAGCTCAGCAGCCTCCGCCGCCTGGCTCAAGCGGACAAACCCGCCATGCACAGGGTGAGCGAGTGTGGCTGGCCGCGGGTTCCTGCCCCCTCCAGACGGCTGAGCTCCCTGCACTCAGCACCGTCAACAACATGCTGCGGGGAAGTAAATTCAGAAAGCTACTTCGGGGGTGAATGTTGGTCTACTGAAGCTAAGAATAGGGACCCTCTTGCCCGTTTCCCTTTCAGTGTAGTGGGGTGGGGCTGATGGTAAACATTAGCAAATTTAAACGTAAAACTCTTGCGGTCAGGCCCTTAAGACAGAAACGTCAGCCTTTCGGAATGGGGAGGAACTCGTGCAAGAGCCTGGGTTCGCCTTAATGGTGGGCGGTCCCTAGGAAATGGGTGCGGCCAACTGGCAAAGCCCCAAGAGGGGACGGATTGAGCCTGCAGGGATTGCGGCTCCCAACCCCTGATCTAGCAGCCTCCCAAGATCGTAGATAAAAGGAGAGTCTTGGCAACAGAGGAAATTGAGTAAAACCAATGAAAACGCTCCGGGGGCTGAACCCACAGCCTTTGGGGCGCAGTCTGGGTACTCGGCTGCCAAAGTGTAGAGACAGGCCCGCTCAGGCATGTGCCCTGTGTTGGAAGCGACGTCTCTGTGCGGACAGAAACGGTTTGTGTAGAGGCTTCCATCCTTCTGAGCCAAAGCCCAGGGGTTTTGGGAAAGAGGAGTGGTCCATCCAGGTGGCTCAGGGTGGACGGGTCAGGGTGGCCTGGGATCACCTGGGGGTTGCTTAGTCTTGAGAGCTTCTCTCCTCCACCCCAGGTGTTCCTTCACGAGGCGACAGCCCGGCTGATGGCCCGTGCCAGCCCCACGAGAACTCACCAGCTTCTGGACCGGAGTCTGCGCAGACGAGGCGGTCCCAGTCTTCTCAAAGGAGGTGAGAGAAGGGAGGGTCCAAGGACGCTAGGGTCCGGCCGGTTCAGGGAGCCCCGGGGGTCTGTTTGTGCACCCTGCAGGATGCACTGAAGCCTACGCAGGATGTTGACCGATCCAATGGACCCTTTCCTTTCGTGATGGGTTGCCCTGCTTTTCTCCAAAAGAGAAGCCAAAGAGGCGTACAGTCTTAGAACAGATAATATGAAAAGCTAACCGTGGCGTAAATTATTCTCCTCTCCCCGTCCTTCTGCTGACCCAGTGTCCTACAAGGATGGAAGATGGTACTTCAAGCTGTTCTAGGGTGGAGTCTTAGGATCACAAGGTTGACCTCAGAAGACATCAGTGGGATTATTTGAAAGGACAGCCGTTCAAGCCAGGCTCTTATGATTCTGGGTGCTGGTGTTGGAAAGAAAGGGCTCTGCCCAAGACTCAGGGTTAACTTGGGGCGTGGGCGTGGGGGGAGAGCACCCTTCCTTGTCTCCTTTCCCGGAGACTTTTTGCCTGATGCTGAGCATCGTCCTAGCGTCGCGTCTCGCCTCGCCTGAGCGTCTGTCGCTGTTTCCCTTCCAGCCCGCGAACCAGAGAGCCGCCCGACGGCGCGGGAGCAGGCCGAGGCGCTGCTGCTCGCCTGCTCGTACCTGCCCCCCGCCTTCCTCCTGGGACCAGCCCAGAGGGTGGGCATGCTAGCCGAGGCAGCCCACTCGCTGGAGAAGCTCGGCGACAAACGGACCCTCCACGAGTGCCAGCAGATGATCATCCGGTTGAGCAGCGGCTCGACCGTCACCTCCAGCTAAGGGAGCAAGGACCGAGGACTGGCACGGGGTGGGGCGGGAGCTGGGGGCGAGCTTCGCGGAGCACTGTTTCGTGGGGATGTTCACAGGGGAGAGGCCAGGCCTGCCGACGGCTCGTACCCCAATGTCCCCAGATAACTCTACACGGTTACTCTCTTGCCTCCCCTGGGGGGTGTGGGAAAGCCAGCCTTCCACCCCCACCCACCCCCCGCTTTGGCTACTGTGGGTGCTGAAACACAGGGAGCTAAAAGGGGGCGTGCTGCTGATTTGAAAAATGTGAGGGGTGTGGGCTCTTTTTGCTCCTGCTGTCAACCTGAGAGAGGTGTGCATGATTGGCTTTTCGAGGCATCCTTGAAAAATTGAGTCTTTTGGCTTGTAGCGACACACACCCAGGTAAGATACACCGAAGGTACACTTCTCCTTCTCCTTCCACTCGAATCTTGATTCTCCGCTCACACACACCCCCATGTCAAGTGGAAATGGAGTTTGTAAAGGCTGTGGCCTCTGCATGTTAGAAATCAGGAGGACATTTGCTCAGTTCTTCATCGTCCATTTCGCTTGTCTCGACGAGACGAGGCACTTGACGGAGAATTTTAAAACCCCGCCAGATTCCTCGCCTTCAGGAGAGAGAGCCCCTATGGTTCTCTTGTTGTGGTCCCCATAATTAGCGCTAAATACCTCTGTGTAAAAATGAGTCTTGCTTCCTCCATGGAGCAAGGAAGAGCCACACCCGCGAATGCAGAGCAAGCGCAGGACGACGGGCTGATGGTTAAGAAGCATGAAGCTAACCCATCTGCGGCTCCACCTTCTTAAACACCTGCGAAATCAGGTCTCGGTCCCTAGTTTTATATATTTTGCCCAAGGCATGCAAGTTGTGCAATTCTGTGAAAATCACACCATTTTGAACTAATGAAACTCTCCCCCCCTCCCCAAGGGGGAATTTCATGCAGAAGGCTGTTCTCACAGCGGGAAGAACAAAATCAAGAGGGCCAGCGAAGGCCTTTGCCGTCCTCATTGTCGTGTAGCAGCTGCGCATCCTTGCGCAGATGACGTTGGCAAAGATGTGAAGATTTCCATCCCTTGTCTAGACGTGATGATGAGTCTGCAGAAAGTCCTCCTGTATCAGCTTGCTTTGGTGGACCTCTGGTGTCAGATTCCCAACATTGCAGGGGGCCTTTCTCTCTCTCTCTGTCTCTGTCTCTGGCCAGATGTGAAAAGCTCTTGAGTCACTGGATGCAGACCTTACTTGTTTTCCCTCCCTGGGTTGTTGGCCAGCTTCTGGCACCTGGGGCTTCTGTCCTGGGATGGAGGAGGAGGGAAGGTCATTTCTGGGGGGAGGCACTCTCCATTTGACCCCTAGAGACATCATGCTTTTTTTAGCATATTATATTCCTGGGGTGTTTTTTTTGGCTACAGCATCATTACAGGCAGCTTCTCCCAAAGGCTTTTTGTTTCCTGGATGCTTGTGGCTTCAGTTACCGAGCAGAAGCGCTCCCAGGTCTGCGAGGGGCCCACGTGCTCGCAGCCAGCGCTGTGGTATCCTCTCCTGGTCGGCATGACCCAAATGGCTTTCCTCGGTTGCCACTGCAAAGCCTTGATGGTGCGCTCAGAGGAGGGGCAGAGAAAATGCTTCCCTTGTGGCTTTTTTTAAAAAATTGGCCTGTTAAAGGCAGAGGCGCCGGGCCGGAAAAGAGAAGGTGGCAACCCTATTTATGGCGAAAACTCCCCATTGTGTGTGGTCTGAAAGGAGGAGGCGGGAGAGGTTAATTTAGGATCCTTGTGTATCTCTGGTTTGCTGGGTGGAGGAAATGGAAGCTCTTGACGAGCGTGCCATCGCTTTGGCTGCCTCGTTTAGGCCTCTGCCAAGAGGGCGTGACCGTCGTGGCGTCTTCCAGATGTGATGAGCCATAAAGAACTCAGCCATCGGTCCCGAAGTGGTGGAGAAATGAAAACAGTGAAGAGTAGAAGTTAGCCTTCTTGTAGGCCTTCTCTCGTAGAAGCCAGTAATAAGTGTGTTTGTGTGTATAGTATATACTCTTATATACAGATAGATAGCATACACACATTTTATATATCTATCTATCTCTGTCTGTAGTATATTCCACCATTTCCGCTGCCTGCCCTGCTCCGCCCTGGTTCTTCCATTAAAAGTTATTTTCATAAGGTTTTTTTTTTGTACAGACGATAAAAGTAAAAAAACCACAACTACTTATTTATATCTCTCCGTCTGCCGCTTTCTTTTTCTCAACCTAACCCCCCCCTCCAGGTTTCGGGGATGCAGGCCGGGGGAGGAGAAGTTCCTAATCTATCCATTAAAAAAAACACCATCCATACAAAGACTACACACTTCTGTTTATAGCAATGCCAAGTTTTTTTGGTGTGTGTTTGTGTGTGTCAAGGCAGTGGTTCCCAACCTTGGCACCCCAGATGTTCTCAGACTACAACTCCCAGAAGCCTTCCCCACCAGCTGTGCTGGCCAGGATTCCTGGGAGTTATAGTCCAAGAACATCTGGGGACCCAAGGTGCGGAAACCCTGATGTAGAGGCATCTGGTCCAGCGTTATGGGACGGAAGATGCGATGCACCATGGATGTAACAGGGCCCTTATTTACGGATGTCTTTCCACCACACATGTGGATCGGCAGATGTTCACACCTCACCCACACAGAATTCTGTATTACGGGGCCATCCTTAGGACCGGGCGGCTGGGGTGTTGCCCCAGGATTCCAAATATCAAAGGGGACGACATAAAGATTGAATCCCTTGGCAAGTGTTAGGAAGACCTCGAACACCACTCCCCCTTTTCTTTGAAAGTGGCTCCTTTCTTTCCAGGCGACTTTCTCATGGTGGATTTGCACCCACACCTCGGGACGGAGAGGGTGGGAGATTCCGCCCCCTTGTCCGTACCTGCTGAGGTGGTTAACTATGCAGGGGGCCACATTCGTGGACTGCCACCTGTCAAGCTTCTCCGTGTGTATGTGTAGTTGTTTGATCGGTTGACCACCCTGCCGTGTGGCATCGGACATTGCTTCCCATAGGCGAAGGTGTGACTCCGGAGAGGTGAAGCGACCGACAAAACGGTGAAACCTCTCCGTGGTTTGGCACCTGTCTTCCATACGATGCTCCGAGCAGGTGCTCCTGTTTTGTCTCTTCACCAGATTGGGTTCAGGAAGATCCTGCAAACATGGGAAGTTGCTTTATCCTGTAGCCCAGCATCGAAGCCTCTGGCTTGCAGTGGTCGGTTGCCTGCGAGTTGAGGAATCGCCCTTTCCTAACCCTACCTGGAGACACCCAGCTTAGCTTCTCGAAACCAGACAAGACTGTATTCAAAGAGGCAATGAGGCACCTCCATCACCCTTCTTCCCATTTCTGTGTGCCTGCTGCTCTCCTACTTAGACCCACACATCCCATGTTTTTCATCATCCCCCATTCTGTCCTTGAGCCCTTCCGCACAGAAGGGACAACTTCCTTCGCTGATGTTTTAAACCTACTGTTTTAAAACTCCTTTCTCAGTCAATTTAGATTTTTTTTTCTTTTGGCCTTTCATTGTGGGGAGGTTTAAAAGGAATGTATTGGGCAGACATCAGAATCTGGCCCAATACTTACCCCCACCACCCCCACTGGAAGGGACGGCAGAAAAATAGGTTACTAGGGGACTCTAAAAATATCCAAAACAATTGTTGAATCTTTATTGATGTTTTGAATCCAATGACCTCATTTTTTCTTTTTTTTTAACTCTTAAGGAAAATAAACTTCTTTTAGAAAGCTCGTTACACACAGTCTTCAGTGTGAAGCAATATTACTAAATAAGAACACTAGTTTTAACATTTACATCTTTCATATATATTATATATATGTATATGTATACATATATATACACTATAGAATGAGGCAATATATAATACACACGATTCGCCATTTTACAGTCATTATGTACAAGATGCCATTCAAAGAGAGCTGGGGTTTGTCAAAAAACACGATGCTGTGAAGACAGGAATTCCTTCCTCCAGCCTGCTGTTCTGGAGGTGTGCGTCGGAAACAAAACGTTTCTTGGCCCGCAAACCGTGAGGGGCCAGCGGCGGATGGGATGGTGAGCCAAGCAAATGGGGGTGTGTGGAGCACACTGCGTGCTGGGAACAGACAGGTTACAAGCGACGGGCGGCGGGAGCGCTGTTGACTGGGCCGAATGGAAAAACCCGTGGAAAAATGACGACCAAACAGAACAGCACGGAAAACCAGGGACCTTAAAGGGAGTGTTGAAACATATACATCCTATACAGCTGGATGAAGGCCTAGCCTGCAAGCGGAGACTTTTGCCAGAATGTGTCAGGAGATGGGTAGGTTCACGTAGTACTTTAACTACCATTAGGGAGCACACCCCAACCCAGTTTAGCTTTCGCCGCCAACCACAGAGACACCCCCTCAAAACTTCAGTGTTGTTGCCGCTAAGTATGGAGGACCCATCCATTTCCATCTGCTCAACAGGCGGGCAGCCGGCCTCTGCAAGCAACGCCCTTCGGCAGCCCTGATGACTCTCGCACCGATTTCGCACCATCTCAGACTTGAAATGTGTTCTCCTTCACCCTCTTCTGATCAAGGGGAGGCGGCATCGCTCACCTGGCCTCTGCTCTTCCCCCACAAGGTCTGATTCCATCGAGGGTGAAAGGAACGCCCAAAGCGACGTTACAGAGGTTGGGAGTTCAATTCCCCCGCTGTGCTTCCTTGGCGGGGGGCTAGACTGGATGACCTACGGGGTCCCTTCCAGCTGTGCCGTTCTAAGATTATTGTAAGAACTGGGTGTGGGACAGTTGCAACTTATTCCGGATCAGCTTGTAAATTTCAGGGGCTGGCGTATCAATTGAACCAGTCCTACCAGTGAGGAGATCCAAAAAGGGTGGTGTGTGTGAGAGAGAGAGAGGGAGAAAAGGGACAGGCCGTGTCCTCTCTCCTTCCAGGGCTGTGTGTGAGAGAGAGAGGGAGGGAGAAAAGGGACAGGCTGTGTCCTCTCTCCTTCCAGGATTGATCTCCAACCTCAGAGGCTAAGTCAAGCTTCCCTTTGGATCCAGCATGCTGGGTGATGCCACACATAAGGCAGGGGACGTCTTTATTAACCTGGGGTGAAGTTCAGTTTCTTGGCTGAGCGGGTGAGGAGATGTGTCCCAGAGGTGGGGAGCGCCGATGGCAAACCCCAGCATCATTTTTGCCAAGAAGGAGCTGGATTTCATCCTTTAGGAAGGGAGAGTCCCGTACGCCACCTGGGAACCCCTCAAGATGGTGGAGTCGTGGAGAAGGGAGCGCAGCCACGGGAGGAAGGCCAGACCCAAGAGGCCGGATTCAGCTCCCTGGCCCTCCTCTACCCAGCCCCCAACTCCATGTCCTCCTGCCTCTTGGCCTCACTGGAGGAGAAAAGCCCTTCAAGAAAGCAACTTTATCTAGATACCAGCAGACTTTGCCCTGAGTGGAAATCTCTCAAGAACCCCAGATGTGCATTGGTTTTATGGGAAGTCATGAAGAACACGCATGATCCCTGCATGCAATGTGGTAAAATGAAGCAACTCTGTGTGGTGGGTGGGTGTCTCGGAGAGCGAGACTCTGCCTCCATCTCGGGGGCTCGCAATGCATTGTCGTTTTGAGCTTGTTTCCATGAAAAGGGCGAGAGGCGATTTGCTGCGAGTTGGAGCAGAGCATGGAACGGTTCTATTTTTGGAGGGTTCTGGGCGTTTTCGTCGAAAGAAGAGCTTGTTCCAAGCTCTGCTGACAACTGGAAGACCAGGCTGGGTTGGGTTCACCCCCTCCGACCCTCTTGTGTCAGCTCTGGTTCCCTTGTTATTCCAATGAAATTTTTGCGGACAGCCTAACCTGGAGCCCGCCAGAAGATCCACCATCTCCCAGGACACAGGGGAGCCCGTGGGCCTCCAGATGCTCAAGAACTGCATCTCCCGTCAGCTCCAGCCAAGAGAGGCCACGAAAGAAAGGCAATGAACTCCCAAAACATCTGTAGGACCACCGAGTCCTACCCTGGGCTTGGCAGAAACATCTGAGCCGGGAGTGTCCCTTCTTTGAGAAGGTGATCACCGGGGGGGGGGTGTCGGTCCACACACGGCTTCAGGATTTACTCCTAACTTCTAAACCAAAGAGCAAAGGAGGTTGTTTGGAAAGACTGGACCTTGGGCTTCCATTTGCAAATCTGGCTGAGCAGGCCCTCCAAAAGGGCAACGCCTTCCCACCTTAAAGTTGGCGTCTTGGGTAGAGCACCCCAACGGGGCTACAAAGGGGTACCCAGCCAGGTGTGCATGGAAGATCTCACCTAGTTTTGCTATTTGGTAACCCTTGTTTCCTTGGTTCACCCAGGCAGGAAGTTCGCCGTCTGCCACAAAGTTTAGTGGCAGGTGAAGTGTGGGTGAATGTCTCCTGGTTGGTTGAATCGCAAACCCCTCGGCTCCCCATGAGGTTCAAAGACTCTCTACAGGCGCCTCATTTTTGCTCAGCCTGGGCAACGGGCCGACTTTCCTACGCTGAGCCGGAGGCCTTAGTTGGGTGAGATGTAAGACAGCGGGCAGAGGATGGCGTGGCACGCCGGGTGGCCGTGGTGGGGGAAACGAGGCAAGAAGCAGCAGGGAAGAACCAGGGGGGGGCGAAGCAAAACGAAACGAGCGAGGGAACGAACCGAAGCGAAGAGGCGTTGTTGTTTTTTTTAAAAAAAACATCAGGGTGCTTCTTTTTACACGCTGATCACATATAGATACAGAAACACACATACACGCACACGCACCGTGAGGTCTGCTGAAGGCAAAAATAGATCAGATCAGAAAAGAACGATTAACGGAGGGCTCGGAGAGCTCTCGAGAGTCCGCCGGCGCTTCGAGAGGAAGAGAAGGCGGCCGAAGACAGCGGGAGACCCACTGCCTTCCCCTCTCCGGGGTGCAGGAAGAGAGTTTGGGAACCGGGCGGAGACGGGTGGCGCTGGCCCGAGGATGTGTGGTGCGGACGGCATGCTCTCCGATCACGTCTCTCCCACAGGCTCTGGTTCTGCAGACAGGAGGCATGATGCTCATTGTTCTCTAGAAGGAGAGGGGGTCGGGACACACGCTCCAGGCCAGGTTTTGTGAGTTGCCGGCGTCCCAGGCAGGAGAGGGTTCCTTATCAGTATTGGTTACAGCTCCTTAGTGAAGGAAGAAAAGGAGGTGAGGAGGAATTAAAAACCCGGAACTGGAGTTCCTCTCCTCTCCTGAACTGGCTCGTAGTAGCATTTGGAAAAGGGACAGAACCAGGAAGGGGGGGGAGCTGGAAGTGGGGTTTTTTGTTGTGTGTGGGTGTGGTTGCTTGTGTGTGTGGGTATGTGTGCCAACCTGGAACAGCTCTCCAACGAATTCCACAGGTGGAGATTAGAACCCAGAGCCCAATTCCTATTGCCACCTTGCCATGGGATCGAGTCCAGTTCCCGAGATCCGGTTCGGAGCAAGGCCAGAGTCCCGTTCCCCTTTAAGTTTGAGCTCGGAGCACGGGGAACCCCAGAGAGAGAGAGAGACAGACCGGAGCAGGCAGAAGCGAGATCCTGGGGCCAGGAATTCTGCACGGGGGCCCGGATCCGTTCACAGTAGAAACACTATTGCAAAAATAGGAAGTGTGGACGTGAGGAGTTGGTGGGGTCTGAGAGGAGGGCAACATGGCCGGGTTACATTCTCTTTGCCGCTCCCCTGTGGAGTTCATCTCCGTGGGCAGCCGCGTGCCAAAATGACGAATTCCCCCTTTCCCCAGGCTCTGAAGGTTCATGACGACGACGAAGGCTGCTGCTTCTGGAAAAGACAAAGAGGAGAACACCCCAGTCAGCTGCATCGGACAGGAGAGGTGGCTTTGAATCCTGGCCTTCGCTGGCCGTCCCCTCCTTGCTCTCCCCCCCCCCAGACAAGACCTTCCTTCCTTTCTCCACCAGTTTTGCCCGTCCCTGAATTCTGGCCCTGGATTTGGCAGCTGCCAGCGAAACGACGGCAGAGAGCAGGGGTCTGCATGCAGCTGTCTTGACAGCAGAGGACTCCCTCGCTGCGCTCACTGGGTATTAATTCATGCTCCGTGCTGGGGGCCTCCACCAGTCCCAAGCAAAAAATAAAACACACGCTCTTGACAGGCTGCAGAGAGATGCATTTATGGCCCTCTCTTGCCTTCCCTCCTTTCCTTTCCTGTCTTTTCAAGGAATCGCTGGTGCTTGATGCATCGCAAGAGGGCAGCAAAAATATATATATATACCTTTAGGGCTGCTGGCTTCTCAACTGAGTTGACAATAGCAACCCAGCCAGGATTTGGGCTTCCTTGAAGCTCGCTGAGTATTTCCTAGCCTTCTCCCTTTTTCCCCCCATTTGGCCTCCCATCAACCACCCATGAGCTTGCCGCACACCCATGCCTTTTCTTCCCCGACACCGCCCAGCGCTTTCCCACCTTCCCCATTCTGTTTGTGCAGACACACGTATAAATGTTGCTAACACACCAGGCAGGAACAGAGAGAAAATCGGAAGGGGGGGGGGAGAGGACCAGCTCTCTGCAAAACGGGAAAAACTGAACTGATTGTCATAGCCAATGAGCTATGGTCTTAGGCATGATGCACGGACAAACCTGGGTATGCCATAGGTAGAAAGCCATGGATAATCCTGGCTCCCTACTGAACAGATGATAGATGTGTTTGCACACGTTTGTCAGCTCCAAAAGCAGCCAGAATACTCTGGCTTTTGCTTTTGTTTACTGGTTTATTTTTCAACGCACCACATGCGGTGAGTGAGAGGGAGAGGAAGAGAGAGCCGCAACCAGTAATTTCGGTGTCTAAGTCATCCGTGTTGTCTACCGCTTACTTGGTCTTGACGCACGGGCATGAAAGAAACGAGGGGGGAAATAGCGCTTCGGAAGAAGAAAGGGAACAGATCCACAGCAAATTAAATCACGCCACTGTTAAATCCACCTTTAGATTTTCGTGCCCACTCCGTTTTTCTGCCCTGGGGCAATGCCCTGGTTGTTGTGCCACCCCAGGCTCAGCCCTGGCGAGAAGGCCGTCATTCTGAACCACCGAAAAACAAGATTTGAAATCTATCTATTTCGGCCGATCCGTTTTGCACAAGTCCACGGAATCTCGAGGGGAATGAGCGCGGTCAACGCACGGGCTGGGGCTGCCGTGGATCTCCGAAGCCAGACAGCCATATAGCATCTGCTCCCTGGCTGGGATGACAAAATGACACGCCAGCCTCTCCCGCGCTCCGCGCTCTTCAGGAACGCAGATCAATCCGGCCCCCAGCTCTCCATCTGGATCTCCGTGGGTCTCCCTCCCTCCCTCTCCTCCGCATCTGTTTTATATTGCCAATAACCAGGTGTGCATCGCAATTGGTGCGGTGGATGGAAGAGGAGGAAGTGCCCGCCCTGGTGATTCAATTATATCGGAGAGGTCCGGTCAGGGCCACCGAGGCAAGACAAAGACCCTCGACTCCAGTTTCCTTGGCAGGAGGGACGAAAAGGACCACAGACGTGAGGTGGGGTGGCGGGTGGCGGGTGGAGGACTGTATTCGCCTGGAAGGTAGGGTGGCCTCCACCTCTCCATGAGGCTTAACCCCCCCTTCCCCAGCCCCACAAGGCCTTCTCCTGCAGGGCACAGAAGGGGACAAAGCAAGACATGGGAAACCTTCCCTTTTTGGGGACAACACCTCTCATCAGCCACGCTGGTTGGGGGATTCTGGAGGTTGTGGACCCAGAAAGGAGATGATTTCGTGCTGCAGACTCGGGGGGGGTGGGTGGGTTGAAAGAATGAGGGCTTGGGGAATGGGTTCCCAGAACTGGGCCTGGAAACATCTTCCCGAGAGGGAGGAGTGGCACTGTGCCTGCTGAGCACCGCCCGGGATGGCGCAAGGTGCCTCCCGGACCACAAGCCAAAATAATCTGGCCTCTGGTGGAGGATGGGCTTTTCAAGGTACAGAATATGGATGTCGGTCTTTACTGGTGTCACTTTTGCAGGCGAATGTAATAGATAAAAAAGTTCTCCCCTGTTGGCATAATCCATAGTGTGTGTCTCGCCTTGATGGTGAAAAACATTCACAAAAGTGTGTTTTGGACAACAACACCCACACACCCAGAGATTTCATACAGAATATTTTTCTATCTGGGGCAGACAACCTTTGTGCTGCGTCCAAATCGCGAGGGTTTAAATGGAAAATGGAAAAATGCAAAATGCAAAGGCTTCTGGGCGTTTTATTTAAAAACAAACAATGGAAACCTTTACGGTCTGCTCTGTAGCACCGTAGAGACTAAAAAAATTATTTCACATTAGCTCTGGTGGATTCTCTGAAGTCCGGGATGCAACAATAGAGCATACATTCACTGGAAATTAATTATTTCCAAAACGTTTCTGCTCACTGATTGGGGTTTTTTTTGGTTACACAAAGTCAATAAAACAATTGCCATTTTGGGGGGTATCTGATTTTGCTTCGATCCTATCTCTTGCAACATGTAAGAAGCCATGATGCCCTACTACATGCATCTAAGGAAGAGAATGATCATCTGTGAGATCTGGTTAACTGCGATAAATCTGCGAGGGAGGTGGCGACGCTGTTTTGCTAACACAGCTCTCCTTCTTTTGACACTCCAGACCGGAGAGTCATCTCAGAGAAACTGCCGGGATGGACGAAAGAAGGGGGACTGACACGGATGCCCATTGTTGGCACCTGGCCTGGCCAGGTGGCTCCTCAAATTGCTTGGATGGAGGAGACAGCTGTATCGCTTCTCCTGCCAAGCTTGCCTGCTGTTTGGAGAGATGAGTTCCTGCACATTTATGCCTGCATGTTCAAATATCCACACACACACACACACACAGAGGCCCTCTCTCTGTGAGAATCAAAACTCTTCGGTGCAAAAGAAAACGGAAATCCCGCCGGCTGCCACCCTGTGCCCACCTTCTAGGCAACAAGCACCACTGAATTCAGTGGAACCTCCCCTTGATCAAACGCAGACAAGACTCTGTTCCAAACGGCGCAGTTTGGGTATAGAACGAAGCCACTCCCGCAACATCTTGAACGCTGGGAATTCTGCTCAGTCTTTCCTCCAACCTCCGGGATTTCAACTGTCCATCCAAAACTGAGAAAATGTTGGACAGCGACGTTCGGAACCACTCCCCGCACAGAAGAGCTCGCTAGAGTCCAGAGAAAGAGCAAGTTTTCCAAGCTACTGGAAAGTGTTTTCTTTCCAAACCCAGTCTTTGCGATGCGGAGGGTTAGAAACCATTCTCTCTCTCTCTCTCGCCCTCCCTCTCATTAAAGAGAACCATCTGAGGTTCCAAAACTGGCTGCTTCCCAGAAGATTGGCACTCATTCCTTTTTTTGCCCCAGATGGTTTCCACACCCGCTACTGCTTGAGGTGTGTCCGTCTGAGACAACCCCTCTTGCAGCCATTCTGAGAAGACAGGGCCGTGGTGCCCTTGGGCCAGTTATTCCCACCCCCTTCTTTCCATACACTTTTGCGCACCCACCTTATGTCTGGGGCAGTTCAGCAAGAAGGTCTCTTCGGCTAACGAGCAACCTGGGAGCGAAACAGAAGACAAGCCGTCAAGGTGGGACCTTCTTTCTGGGAAACCCATCGCCTGCTGCTTCTGCAGCACAATCTGATGTGAGCTATTTTTCCAGCAGCCGCACGACGCACAGGAGACTGCGAAACAGCCCAACCTTGCTCTGTGCCCAAGCTAGATTTTTTTTTTTTTTTTGGTCTCATAGAAGTGTTACTTGTTCTTTGAGTGCCGTGGCCGGCGCGATCCCTGCACGGATGGAAGGGAGACTGCTCCCAACCAAGAGACCTCTTCCAGACCCGATCCTTTCTTATCATCTCATCCCACAGACAGTTCAGCCCTCCGACCCTGCTTCCACTCCAGTCCCCCCGATCGTCGGACAACCCCGTCCACCCACTGGGGAGAGAGCCTTACCTGTGTCGACGGCACATGTGTAGTGGAAGGTCTGGCCACATCCTTTGTGGCAGCAGCTCACCGTGGCTCCGATTTGCTGGCAGCTGGAACATCGCTGAGGTCAGCGGGAGATGGAGAAAAAAAAGGGGGGGGGAAAGGCAGGCAGAAGAGAAATCCCTGTCAGATCAACTTTTTAAATTTATTTTGCACAGGTAGCTCTTCTTATCAGCTTGCATTGGACGATGCTGTGCACACAAAGAGTTTGAAGACAAGGGGATGTCTTCCAGTTTACATCACCCCTAATTGGTTGTCCCTTCCTGGCCACACTACAGCAGAGATAACCAGCTTCTGTATTCTAAGAAAGGGTGCGTCTGTTGTAGATCTCAGCCTATCCTGGGAGTAGCTCACAAAAATGAGCTACTATTCAGTGTGGTTTGACATACAACGCTCTACCAAAGCACAGCCCTTCTCTGCCCCCACTTTGTGTACATGCAGAGTTCTTACCCATGAGGTGCTACCCTCTCCTCTATTCAGCACTGGTTAGGCCTCATCTAGAGTGTCCTGCGTCCTATTCTGGATACTGCACTTTAAGAAGGATGCTGACAAACTGGAGCAAGTTTAGAGAAGAGCAACAAGGATGGTCAGGGAGCTGGAAACCAATCCCTCGGAGGAAAGACTGAAAGAACTGAGCATGTTTAGCCTTCAGAAAAGAAGACTGAGGGGACATAAGCACTTTTCAAATTCTTGGCTGTCCTACAGAGGAGGGGCAGGATCTGTTCTCCCAGAGTGCAGGATATGTAACAACGAACTCAAGCTACAGGAAGCCAGATTTAGGCTGAATATCAGGGAAAACCTTCTTGACTGTTGGAGCAGTACGACAAGGGAACCCAGGACCTCAGGAGGGGGTGAGCGTTCCAATGCTGGAGGAATCCAGGAGAAAATTGGACAGCCACCTGCTTTGACTTGAGCAGGGGGGTTGGACAAGGCGGTGTTAGAGGTCCCTTCCAACGTCATGATACTATTCTGTTCTAAGCTTCCATGATTCTCACCTACATGGCGAAGAGTCAGAAAGCAAGGATCCAAGCGGATTCTCCCAGCTGAGGTTTAAAGTCAGGACTTCCGTTGGGCACTGCAGATCCCAAGAGCTGAGGCTGCTTGGATCGCATTCCCTTTACATAGTTGATTAGTGCCAAAAAAAAGAGCTGAGGCTGCTTGGATCGCATTCCCTTGACATAGTTGATTAGTGCCAAAAAAAAGACCTCCTTGGTGAAAATATGCCACATTTTGTGCCCTGGGGTCAAGGAAATCAAGGGGCTCCTGTCAGACTGGCCCGCCGCCTGAACCACATCGTTCATAGCTTGATGATATTAATGATGCAGGGACGGTTTTCTGGTGGAGGAACGTTCCAGATGCTTAGCAAATGGAGACCGGAGAAAACCCAACTCCAAAGCAGTGGTTACCAGCCCTGGGTGGTTTCTTTGCAGTCGGTGTGGCCCCTCTCCTCAACCGCATCGATCGGCTCTCCCGTCGTCTTCCCTCGTGGCAGCACCGGGCTTTCTTGCTCCATTAATGTGGGATCAGTTCATCCCCCCCCACCTCTTCTGCAAACATTGCATTTTATCCGAATTATTAACAGAACCCACTTCACCGGCTCCCTCCCTTGAATCTTTTTTAGGCAGAAACACAACAGACTGCCTCGTGAGATGTAAACCTGGTCCATCAGGAGAGGTTGTAGAATATTTACTACGCCCTTCTTTTATTGTGCCGGCCGGATAGCTCACTGGTTTAGGTCTCCGGCTTAACGCTCTCCATGTATGGTTTACATCTTAATTAAGCAGACTACGCTTTGCCACCCCTCCCCCAGGGAGCTGGGTGCTCCATTTACCAACCGTGGAAGGAAGGAAGGAAGGCTGAGTGAGCCTTGAGCCAGCTAACCAAGCCCACTGGGATCAAACTCAGGTTGTGAACAGAGTCTTGACTGCAGGACTGCACTTTAACCTCTGCACCGTGAGGTTCCTTACCCATAACCCACAAGTCTGCTTAGTCTCAGCTAGCACAATCAGTGGCCACCTGGGCAATCTGTAGCCCCTGGAGAGCATCTGAAGCAACCGGCATGAATTCTGAAAGCTCCCTTTAAACCCAGGCTACTTTGGCAGGGCTGCCCCCCCCCCCGATTCTTTAGACCTTTCCCTGCAACACTGCTGAATGTGGGTGCCTTCCCCCTCATTTAAAGCAAGCAGACCATCTCCTCTTAAATCCAATTTTCCCATCTTGCAGGTGAAGTTCAGCACCACGGTTTCGGGCAGGCCTTGGGAAGGTGCAAACGGAGACCCTAGGTTGCCCCTTCTGTATCAGACAACAGGGACAAATTGGAAAAGGTGGAACTGGTTACAATTCCCAAAAGGAGCTAGTTACAATTCCCAAAAAGAACTAGTTACAATTCCCAAAAGGAACTAGTTACAATTCCCAAATGGAATTAGTTGTCATTACAATTACTTTTTTAAAAAGGTAAAACTTTGGAACACAAGAAGCTGCCCTTGGACATGAGCATGTCTTAACTTAATGGGGGTCTATAAAGAGTCACAGAGGGATCTTCCTTACGCCATCTGGAAATCTCTGGTGGTTCCCCCATCAAAGGACTAAAAAAGTCTGAACTTGCTTAGCTTCCAAAATCAGATAAGAGCGGTGTATATTCAAGGTGATGTGGAAACTGGGATTGCTTTCTGATTTACTGTACTGCTTTCCCACTTCTCAAAAGTAATGAAAATAGTTACTTTGCAAACAAACATCAAAACTGCAACCACGGTTTGCATGTTTGTTTTGTCGGTGCAAAACACATTTTTCTCCCATCCACCTCATCACAACCCCAGCACCCACGAGGGAGTAGGTGGCTTGAACCACGTGGAATTCCTCTTCCGCCACCGAGTGAGGCTGCTTTCCTTCAACTGGGAAAGTAACTTTAGAAGCAATCAACGGAGGTTCCTGCTCAGTACGTTAGAACTGGAATGCAATGCAAATGTCCCTCTGTTATCGGAGGGGGGAAAAAGGAATACATTTCATGTAACTAATTATTTGTAATTAGATATACCCTCCCAGTTGCTTTCAACTTCTCGCTACTGCCAAGCTGTTTTAATAAAAATTGCCTGGGCTCTCTTCTTCTCCAAACGAGAGGCAAAGTTTCCGATCACCACATGGCGAGCAAATGTTACCAAGCCATCAGCACATCATACTCAATTTCCTGAGAGTAGCACCAGGCATTCTGCCCATTTTTTTTTCAGATCCCTCTCATCAACCTCTTTATTATTTGTTCAACCTCTCTCTCTCTCCCCCCCCCCCCCCCCCCCGTCTATCCAGCTGTGATACTCCAAAAATTAAAGGAAGGATGATCCTCTCTTGTCATGGAAACAGGGCTTGGTGGAAGAGACTGACAGAGGGATGGGAAGAATAATCCCCAGATTCCTCATGGTTGTTGATTTAGGCTGCCTCCATGCACCTTGACGAGCAGCCTGGAAATCCTGTGAGATTTTTCACCTTCAGTCTGAGAGTGAGACAAGGAGCTCTTTTCTACCCCATCAGGGTCCCTTCGATTTGCACAAAATGCAAAAAACCCAACATCCTTTCTCTTTTTGAGAAGCAAAGCTCACACAAAAAGCGACCGCAGAAGGACTGAGTGATGGTCCAGAAATGGACTAACAACCCATCTGGAACTTCTCATTCTTAAGAGCCGGGGAACACAAACTAACAAGCTGTACCTACCCCTTTTGTGTAAATTGTGTTTGTGTGCGTGCACACACGCCCCCAACGCTCTTTGCTGCAAGTATCATAACTGCTGTGGAGATCAAAAGAAACTATCTAGCTCCCTCTTAGGTGAGGGGTAAAATGTGGTTGCATGTGTGAGCATGATGAAAACATGAATTTACATTCCTAGACTGGCAGCAAATGGATTACAGACTGTGGCATGAAAAACACCACACCCGAAGCTATGTGACAGTCAGGAACATGCTATCAGAATTTCTGGTGGACTACAGCTCCCAGAATTCTTTGTTCTCAAGATCCATGCCTACAGATACCCAGATTTTGCTCACCTGAAGGAAAGGCCTGGCCTTAAAGGCTTCGTGGCCTAGCATAGTCCTTTTTCTGGTCTTAATTTCCTGTTAGAAAAGGATGCCTGCAAATATGCTTGCTGGGAGGCTTCTACTTCCAATAGAAAGCTAGGCTGTTGTTCAGCCTAGGCTAAGCCATAAAACCTTTAAGCTAGGCCTTTTCCCCAGGCGAGCAAAATCCGGGTATCAGTCAGTGCAGGGGTGCCAGATGCAAAAAATCAAAATAGTTCATCCCGTTGTGGCCACGGTTAGTGGCAGGAAACCAGAGATTAATGAAGTGAATGTGTACCAAATTATTAACCATGTCTGCTCTCTAGAGCCAATAACTCCTGGGGAAGTGTATAGAGCTCTGATCTTCCGCCTACTGTAGCAAAGGTCTTCTTACATTTTTATGGAAGTCTCTGGTGTTTTCAGGATTAAAAAACAAAACACCCCAACCTGACTCAATGTGGACTGAATCCCCAAATAAAAGCCCCCCGCCCTCGTAGCTAACATACAACTGGTCGGCTGGAATGGACTGCGAGGCTGCCAGAAGTATTCCCTGCCTACCACCGCTTGCAAACCGAAGCAAAATACCTCCATGTGCACCCAAGTGACGTAGCATCGACTTCCTCATTTGATCCCCTCGTTCCCTCTCCGCCCTTTCCCTCCCCCGACCCAGGGCCTAAGCTGTTGTTCCTCCTTTGTGAAGCACTGTTGACTTGGTTTGAATACTAAGTGGCTCAGTGGTTTCTCAGCCCGTGGGCTACTCCTCCCAAAACAGCGGACGTGAAGGGAGAGACTCTTACCACGTCAGCAGCCATCTTTATTGCCTCCTGCAGTCCGTAGAGCTTCCCTGCCACCAGGTAAACCCCAGATGTCCATATAGCGCAGGCTTCGTGAACCCAGTGCTCCTGCGTATCTCCGACGGGATCCGCCGCCGGCGACTCAAATTTGCCACATTCGTGCCTCCTGGGTTTCTCCGCGGTGGCTGCTGCTGCTGCTGCTGCCGCCTCCTCTCCCTCTGTCCTCTCATCGCAGCAGTAGCAGCTCTGTAGTTTCCTAAACATTCCCCTCGAACTGGAGCGGAGTGCGCTCTGTTTCGCTGAGTCAGCGCCACCGTCCAACCTTGGCGGCTTTCCACCCAACGCGCCCGTCGCACAATTATTATCCGTCGCTTTGAACAGTCTCTCCGCCGGAGCAGGCGAAGGAGGCTCCTCGCCCATCCCCTCCACTTTGATCTTCTCTTTCAGCCTCGACTTCTTTTTGGGCAAGCAGTCCTCAGGGTAATAGGGCCCGCAGAGATCCCCTTGGTCTTTGTAGTTGGCGGGGTTCCGGCACAGGCAACAAACCAAGCAGGTGGCGTTGAGGGCCTTGGAGACCACAGGGCCGAGATGCATGGTGGACGACAGAGGTAGGATGGCTCGGGGCTGCAGGCATGTGGCGCCGAAGTGCCCGGTCTGGGCGGACAGAGAGGACGAGCACTGCTCGCTGTGGAGCCGGGCCTCTTCGGCGGGGAAGTTGACGACGGTGCAGGTGGTGACGAACTCACCATGCTTCTCCATCCAGACGTAAGGGGCGAAAGGGGGTGCCCGGCTGTCCGTCCGCAGCCGCTTGCACGACACGTACTTGAGCCGGATTTCGGGTTCGGCCGGGCTCAGCAGAGGGGCCTGTTGCATGTGCCGCCTTTTGGACCTGCTCTTACACCGCGACGGCACGCCCTGGGCCTTCCGGCTGCTGAGGTGCTTCCTTTGTCTCTTTGTGTAGCCGTTATAGTTTGAATGGTTGGCTCGCTGCTTGTGCCCCCGGGTTTGGGCCTGCGAGGGCCTCCTTTCCGAGTTCTCGGCATTGCCAAAGCCTTTGTCTTCACCCTTTGGCTTTTTCCCTTCCCTTTGTCCTTCTTCGCCTTTCCCGGAATCGCCCGCTGCCGTTGCAACCGCCGCCGCAGACTTCTCTCGGGATGCCAGAAGCAGCGTCGTCGGCGGGCTCAGGTGAGGGCAAGTCTCCAAGCTATTTTTGGCTCCCCGGAAGGCGGCCGCTTTCCCCTTTCGGTTTCTTTTCTTGGGCAGCAGGGCGATGCCGCTGGCAGCCATGCCGTCGCTGCCGTGCTGCAATGCCTCGGGAGATGAATAGGCCTCACCCTTGAAACAGTTGGAGGACAGTTTCTTACTGTTCATTAGTTTTCCTCTGAAGGATCTGTTGTTCGGGTTCCTGCATAATTGCTCGGCTGCCGGAGCGGCGGGAGCCTTTTGTGACAAGGCCTGGTTTAATGGCCGAGCTTCCCCCACGGCGGCCGGGGTTACGCCGGCATTCTTGGCGGTTTGCTCCCTCTCCGGTAGGGAAGGGCTGAGAGGATTACTGTGGGAGGTGGTGGCCGTGGTGAGGACAGCGGACGCGAGGGCGACGGCCGGCGTTTTGCAGGCAAACTTCTTCAGATTGGGGGAGGTGATCTTCTGGACGATGGCTTCCAGCTTTAAGCCTCTGCCCTTCCTCGGGGGGAGCACTTTGGTCTTCACCGTTCCCTGGAAGGCAGCCCGAGAGGTGATTTTGAGGCAGACGCTGCCAGGGTTTTCTTTCACCTGAGCGGCCTTCAGCAGGGCTTCACAGGAATTCTTGGTCAGTGGCTTCACTTTCGCCTTCTGGGCCGACAGGGGCATCCTCTTGAACAGTCCAGGGGAAACCTCTGGCTTCTCGTCCTTCATGCTACTCGTACTGCTGCTGTGGCTGGTGCTCCTCAGAACCAGGTTCCGCTTTTTCGCCGGAACCGGGGGGATGAAGGCCGACTTTCTTTTCAGGGCATGAAGCGATGGTTCGGGCATCCTGCTACCCAGGTCTGGCCTGGTTTTAGAGAGCTTCACTCGTTTACCCAGTTTGCTATCTTTCTCAGACTTGCTTTGGGAGCCGATCTTGAAGGAACCCGGCAGGTGGTTATTCGGGAAAGCGTTCCTAGGTAGTTTGGAATTCTTGACCTCAGTGTCCACCATGTTTTTCTCTCTTCGCCTCTTTGTGTACAAGACCTCCTGGGTCCGGGTCCTGGAGCGAAGGATCATCGACTGTTGATCTTTCACTTCCGCTTCCACAGAATCAGCTTCTTTGATCTTATGACCAAGAGGGTCTTCGATCGGGGCCAGAGTCGACAACCCCGGAGGAGCCGGGTGGCTGGGCTTTGGGGACGGTTTACCACCAGGCTTTCTGGACTTGAACGCAGCCCTCTGTTTCAGAACGCAAACCGGCTTCTTGCGCAACTTATCTTGAGGGGTCGAAGCCTTTGCCCCCTCCAGAGGATCCAGCATCCTCGGTTCGGTCAATGCAGTCAACGAGCGGGTGCACATCCTTGCAGGTAATCCTTCGGCTGGAAACCTGGGTGTCTGGCCATGAGGGTTCTTGCTTGGCATTTCCATCAGATTGTTTGGCCCAGCACACATGTTGGCCACCATGCCAGCCGCCTGGATGCCTGTACATGGGCTCGATATGGGCTGGATGGGTTCTTCTCCCCCAGAGAGCCTGCAGTATACTTTCTTACTGCGAAGACTTTTGCCTCTGGACGTTGGTTCAGATACTATTGGCATCTTTTCTGGTGAAACCTGTCTTTTCGCTGGTAAGGCAGCCGGCGCCTCCGCCTTATCCGGAAAGGCATTTCCTTCTCCAGCAATTTCCTCGGTAGGCTTCAGGTGAGGCAGAGAAGATTCAAACCAACTCTTCACTTTTGTCTCTGTGCCCACCGTTGGGCCTAAGAGGATAACGGATGGATCGGACAAACGGAAAGAACCCGTGCTCTCTTTCTCAACTGGGTGTGCGGTTTCTTCAGCTGAACCTGGCGTGTCTTGGAAGGAAAGGGCTGGAGCGTTTTCCGCCGGCTTAGGTGTGAATGCATCGTAGGTCATGGACTTTGGCTCGGAACCAGCCAGTTCGCAGAGAGACGAATACTCTTCTGGCTCCAAATCCGATTCTTTAAGGTCCGGGGAGGACATCATTGGGAGTTCACTGAAGTCTTCTCCTGAACAAGAGTGCCTGGCGGTGTCCTCTAGCCATCGTTCGCTGTCGGTTCTGGTGGCCTCGTCGTACGTTACGTTGTCCCTTTTGTCGGGCTGCTGCTGCTGCTGCTGTTGCTGCTGCTCAAAGCCTTCCATTTGCTCGGCCCCAGCCAGCTCCTCTGTTTCACAAAGGCTCAGGCAGCACGCATTTTTTTTCTCTTCCGAAGTCTCGCTCAGTTTGCTGGAGAACAGACTCTTGGAAAGGTCGGAGGCTTGGAGGCTTGAGCCCAGCTCTTTCCATGTGTCACTGAGGTTTTCATCTGGCCAGTCGAAATTCTCCATGGCGTTTTCAGAACCTACCGAATTGGCGGTGGCGTTCGAATAGCAGCTGAAACTGGTGGCCTCCGAGCTCGATGTGGCCACGGAGATGTTGGGTTTGGAGTTGTAACTTACTGAGCCGGTCGTTTTCAGAGAACCCTTTGTCTCTGCTGTGGTAAAGGCTACCTGGGAGCTGTCATAAACCTCCTCTGTAAAATTCTTCTCATTATTCCCCCCCAAGGCCTTGTCACAGAGAAGATTCAAACCAACTCTTCACTTTTGTCTCTGTGCCCACCGTTGGGCCTAAGAGGATAACGGATGGATCGGACAAACGGAAAGAACCCGTGCTCTCTTTCTCAACTGGGTGTGCGGTTTCTTCAGCTGAACCTGGCGTGTCTTGGAAGGAAAGGGCTGGAGCGTTTTCCGCCGGCTTAGGTGTGAATGCATCGTAGGTCATGGACTTTGGCTCGGAACCAGCCAGTTCGCAGAGAGACGAATACTCTTCTGGCTCCAAATCCGATTCTTTAAGGTCCGGGGAGGACATCATTGGGAGTTCACTGAAGTCTTCTCCTGAACAAGAGTGCCTGGCGGTGTCCTCTAGCCATCGTTCGCTGTCGGTTCTGGTGGCCTCGTCGTACGTTACGTTGTCCCTTTTGTCGGGCTGCTGCTGCTGCTGCTGTTGCTGCTGCTCAAAGCCTTCCATTTGCTCGGTCCCAGCCAGCTCCTCTGTTTCACAAAGGCTCAGGCAGCACGCATTTTTTTTCTCTTCCGAAGTCTCGCTCAGTTTGCTGGAGAACAGACTCTTGGAAAGGTCGGAGGCTTGGAGGGTTGAGCCCAGCTCTTTCCAGGTGTCACTGAGGTTTTCATCTGGCCAGTCGAAATTCTCCATGGCGTTTTCAGAACCTACCGAATTGGCGGTGGCGTTCGAATAGCAGCTGAAACTGGTGGCCTCCGAGCTCGATGTGGCCACGGAGATGTTGGGTTTGGAGTTGTAACTTACTGAGCCGGTCGTTTTCAGAGAACCCTTTGTCTCTGCTGTGGTAAAGGCTACCTGGGAGCTGTCATAAACCTCCTCTGTAAAATTCTTCTCATTATTCCCCCCCAAGGCCTTGTCAACCTTTAAGGACTCAGCAAGCGGATTCGCATCCCCTTGATTGGTCCACGGATTTTTGACCACGGAGTCCAGGCAGGCCCTGTGGTTCTCCAAGTGGAAAGAGGGTTTTTTGGGGTCTTTGTTTGAAGCAGGGGAATTGGCCCACCCTTTGTCGGCTTTCTCGTTGATCGCATCTTGCAACCCAATGATCTCGGAGGCAAGCTGCTCTTGAGAAAGGGCGCCGAGGAGCAGTCTGGGGCAATCCCTGTCGTTGGCCACAAACTTGGTAAAGGTGTCCAGTGGGAGGCTGGTGTGTATGTTCTGGAAGGAATCGTCTGACTTGGTCGACATGTCATCAGGAGACGTCACCGAACATGTCGAGACGGACTCTGGTTTCGCCTTGGAGTTGCTATTGACGCGCGCGGGGCTGCGGCTCTGATTGCAGTAGAGGAAACCCCTTTCCAGTTGATCTTCGGATCCACTTAGGTATTCGGCATCCTGGGTTTCAGCGTGGACCGACTGTGGGGTGCCGAGTGCGTCTGAGTGGGGAGTCCCAGCTTGCTCGGCAGAATAATTATTACCCTCTGGGCTACAGTGCTGGCCTTTCAGCTGTTCTGGTGTCCTTGGTGAAGTCTTGAGACTTTTCTTCTGTTGCATCCCGGTGGATTTGGATAGGAGAAGCTGCTGGACAGTGTTGGAAATGTTTTCGACTTGCGAGGTGAGGGCCGTGAGACTTTGCAGACTCAGATCCGACAAGAGGTTCTCGGCGATTTTCTCTTTCGGCAAGTTCTTGCAGTTCCCCGGCGGTTGGGTGTCTGGGCTGGCCCCGTCCGTTGGCGACGGGTTCAACAAAGGCATAAAATGGCTGTGGTCAGCGAGGCTTGCTGGGAAGGCCCCTGTGCTCAACGACTGCTGGCTGTACTGGAAGTTCTCCAAGTTCGGCATCAACGGGGAAGGAGTAGAGCTGTAAGACGGGGATCTCCCGACGGAACGAGCTGGAGAGTGACCAGAACCGGGGCTAAATGTTTGATAATACTGGTCTGGTGTCCTCACTGGTCCATCGGCTTGGCAGTAGCTCTGTCCGGGCTGGTTATAGTGTTGGTATTTTGCTAGGTTTTGATAATGAAGGGCCTCCTGGGCGTGGTGTCTCCCTGGCTTTGTCTGTTGTTGTTGTTGTTGTTGTTGTTGCTGCTGCTGCTGCTGCTGCTGTTGCTGTTGTTGTTGGTCATAACTAATTCGGTTAGGTTGGTAGCCATGGAGGCTTGGGACCCGTTGCCCAGAGGGCAAGTTCGCGCTATTGGCAAGAGTCCTTTCATGTGGTGGCGGCGGAGGCGGCGGTGGTGCCGAGGGGGCACCACAGCTTTTGTAGGAATGAGCGGCTTGGCCCCCACTTTGAACAGAGGTGTAAGTCGAGGAGGCCGGGAATGACTGGGAGTGCTGGGTAAAGTGGACACTCTGCGAGAACGACACCGGGGGAGACACGTCGTTCTGGAGCTTTGGCCTCGGCAGCTTGGGGTACGTCAGGGGAGACTGCGGCGGTGGGGGTGGCGGGGGCGGCGGCTGCGGGAGGTGCAACGAGTGAGTCCGGAACGGGAGCTGAGGGCTCGGATCGTGGTACGGCCGGCTGCCGGACGAAGCGGCCGACTTTTTCATCAGGTTTTCCTCGTATTTCGCCACTCCTCCCGGTAGCGTCTGCGGCGCTTGCTGAGGCGGTGGCGGAGACCCCCAAGACGGCAAGCTCTCCTCTCCGGAGTAACGGGCCGGATAGGGGCTGTTCTCTTGGATAGCATAGTTCGGGAAGGATGCCGTCCGGCTCGGAAGCGGCTGGCCGCGCAATTGCTTATTTCCTCGGTGATACTTCTCCACGGCGCTGTTTTCGCCGTACCCTTGATTGCGCAACGGAGGGGGCGGCGGTGGCGGTGGCGGCGGTTGTTGCTGTTGCTGACTGTAGTACTCTTTCGCCACCAGCCTCTGACGTTCGCAGTGCGGCCCAGCCTGGCTTTGATGCCTGTAATTCTCCAGGCGTGATGAATCTTGTGAAGGAGTCGGCTGGTAGTTCTGCTGGTTGCCATGGAAACCACACCTTTCCCGAAAGGACTGCATGGCCGGGCCTTGTTATCTGTCGAGAGGAAGAGAGAAAGAGCAGGGAGATTAAAAGAAATGAGAGGGTTCGCATGCACAGATCCTTCTCTCTCCCCTCCGCCTTTTCTGCACCGCTTTTCTTCCTCCCTGCCTCTGCCCACTTTAGAGGCAAATAAACAAACACCTGAGGTGAAGGTGTTTGGGGTTTAAAAGAGAGGGAGAGAGAGAGAGAGAGAGGAAAAGAAAAAAAAATATAGCATTTTTTGGTTTAAAAGAGAGGGAGAGAGAGAGAGAGGAAAAGAAAAAAAATAGCATTTTTTCCCCCTCCCTTTTTTGGCTGCTCTGCAAAACAGGTTTCCTGCCTGGGAAGGAGGCATCGGATTCCCTCCATTGAAGCCCCGAATGCACATCGGATGAGGTGTTTAATAAGTATAATTAAAAAAGGAATAAAATAACCGGCTCTGCCTGCAGCATTGGTGCAACATGCACAAAATGGGGGCGGATGGGGTCAGGATGGGCAAAAAATGGAAACGGCCTCTGAGGACCAGCCTTGCTCAAGGTCTAGTTTGTGGATGCACGCCGCGGTGGAAGGCGGTGGAAATATGAACTAGGATGGCCTCATTTCCAAAATTTGAGGGCCGAAGCTGGAGAGCGGGTGTGTGTGTGTGGACCCTTGTGAAGTCACAGGGGGCCGTGCTGTGGAAAAAGCCGCAAAGTGGCCCGTGCGCACCAATGTGCTTTCGACGAAGGGTGTGGGGAGGCTATTGCTCATTTCAAGCCCAAACGTCTGAATTCCAGCAGCCACGGAAGCTCTCTAGAGCACGCAGGAGAATGGGCAGGACAAGGGGGCATCTGAGCACGTCAAAACAGCACGCCCATGTGCCCGAGACACAGAGGTTTAGGTCTCTGGCTGGGGAGTCTGAGGTTGAGAGTTCGATTTCCCCACTGTGCCCTCCTTGAGAGGGACTGGAATCGAAGCTCCATAGGGCCCCTTCCAGCTCTGCCGTTCTACGATTATCTGCATTTAGGGTCATTATGAAGGAAGCACTTAAAATATATATTTCGCAACCAGCACCCTGAAGTGGCAGTTATTCAATCATTTCCCCTTTTAAGCACTGCGTTCTTTTATCTGGGCGGGAATGCATCGCACAACTGGCGGCGCTGGCGAGAGGCATTAACTGAAATCTGTTTACCATTTATGTGCCCACCGCCGTGTCCTTTTTTCCTGATCTGTGCATTTCATTCCCTTCTTTCGGTTTACCATTTGGCTTTTCCCCCTCCCCAAAACAGGACTCAAGGCGGCTTGCTGTGAAACCGAATGCATGCCATAAAAACAAATCATGTTCAGAAATTAAAATCAATTCAACACCTGTTCCTCCCTCCCTCTACAAAGTCCATGTCACAAGTTACTAGATTGTGTGGAAGGGGTAATCCAGATTTAATGCCGAGGAATCTGGGAATCTGGAGGGATGTTGTTTCTCACACCTCGGATGACCCACCTTCGCTTTGAATCTCCCAGACCTGAGTTTTATAAATCCTGGTTTTAGCCTGAAACTGGGAGAATGAAAAGAGCCCCCCCCCCTTTTCTGCTCTTAACAAAACTGGAATATTCAAAATATTAAATGCCCAGGTATCTCTTCTTTTGCACCTTCGTCCCAAACCTTTGATTCTTAAAAACCACTTACAAGAGAGATTAGACTCTCCTTGGAGATTTCTGGGTCCTATAATCTGGTTACAATGCCCAGGATTTTTTTTTCCCTTCTCTCCTTTGGGTATGTGGCTCCCCTTTTCTTTTCTTTTCCTTTTCTTCCCACGCGACAGCTTTAAGGTCTCAGCCCAGGAAGCCCCCCCTTCTCTCTCTCCCCACCCCCCACATCTCCTAACCGACATGCTCCGCTCAGCACCGTCTGGGGTCTGTCTGCGCTTTACAACAGATGCCTCTTAGGAGTCCTGCCTAAGGAACAGCCATGCAAAAACCCGTCCTGGGGTTTTGCAGTTCTCTATGGCACTGAGAAACAGGGGCCGGCCTCTGCGTTTGCCTTTAAAGCTGGGGTTGTGATGATGACAATACACAGGGTCTGCTGGGGAAGAGACAGCTAGAGTGAGAAACCATATCAGCATCCTTTTGCTGGGCTTGGAAAGGTTACCTTGGCCTTGATCACAGACAATATGACAATGTCCAAGGAGAGATTACACTCTGGACGACTCTTCTCACTTAACCTGCCTTATATGAAAGTCACTATAATTAAATAAGCAAGCTACCGTATTTTTTGCACTATAAGACGCACTTTCCCCCCACAAAACAGGGGGGTGGAAAGTCTGTGCGTCTTATGGAGCGAAAAATACGGTATCTTAATTCCTGCACTGAACATATTATAAGTTCTCGTTCACCTCTCCGCTATCCTGGTCCTCTGTGTTCGTTCAGGACAGGCGGGCACCTCCCTGGGGGTCAGAGCCTGACCTTGACCTTTTGAGATACCTTTCCAGAATTTCCCGTCCTAGCGGGAACTTTCTGGGCATTATCTTTTCTTAAAATGAATGTTTGGGATGCAGCTGGTTGGGTGCCACCCTATCTGCCCATTTAGCCACAAAAAGCCAGGTTGCCTGAACCACCAATACAGTATGTGTCCCGAAGACATTGGGGGGGGAAAATCAGAGGATTGTTCAGTACTGTATGATGATTATTCTCAGTCATTTCTTTCTTTTCCTGCCCGCAATGCTACTTGGGATATTCTGCTGTTGATGATGTGTGCAGCTTTCACAATGTATTCCATACACAAACACAGATCCTCGGGCAGGCCGCACGCGCTGTTTGGCTTACAGCAGCACATGGGTGTTTCAAAGCGAACATGTAAAGGACTGGCCAGAGGAGATACCTTGCTTTTGTCTTCCCGTGGAGAGACGCAGAGCGAAGCGGAAGCATCTCTTGGTGATGTTCCCGAGCCTGTGACCGTCTGTCTCTCACTCCCCTGCCACCTGCCAAATTTTTATTTCCAGAAAGGTGGTGTTTCTTCCACTTAGGAGGGTGAGAACCTGAGCAGTCACCTGCTGCTTTTGCTAAATTCCAGAGGGGAAGAGGGTGTCAGCATTGTACAATGGCCACAGAAAACACCAGCGGGTACATATGAGCGGTTCCACAGCCTGCGAGCGCCTCTTTCCATATCCACGCCATCCCACACCCACACACAAAGGCCTCTGCAGCTCAGAGGGACAGAAAGGCTTTGCGGGGAGGCGCCCCGCATGCAGAAAACTGCCGCTGACAGGCACGCACAGCCGGCAGGACTCGCCATGGGCGCAGACGGAGGCCCAGCCGTGTTCCCGGCGACATGGCCATCACCGTGTGCACCTCTGCCCGACGGGGCCAACAACACGTGCAAGCCTGCGTCGGTCGTTGCCAATGAATCCTTGACCATGGCCTTGGGCAAAGTCAATTCTCATACTTTGGAGAGTGCCGGCTTGGCCCTTCTTCTCGCCCCTGCCCCTCACCCTGCCTTATTGTCCCTGCAAGTGGCATAGCGGTGAAAGCCAGAAAGGTGCGCACCCTGCCTCCCACTCTTTAAGCATGCCGCCCACACCTTCTGTTCGCCAAGCTCGCGTATCTGCACAAATCACATTTCTCACTTCCGTCCGGGCTACGTTCCCTCTCCTGTTGAACGCCCCGCGATGATCACGAGGATGGCGCACCTGGTGGGCGTTTATTTATTTATTTACGGTTTACAGAGAGAAGGAGCGAGAAAGAGAGAGAAAGCAGGAAACCACTTGAAAATGTGCAGGGAAAGAATGAAAGGAGTTGTGACACCTTTATGGGGAGCAGAGGCTTTCTGACAAAGCCCGTTCTCTCGCTCTCTCGCGCCGTGCATCCATTCTCTAAGCACTGGGCAGGTTTAGCCTTGAGGAAAGAAGGCAGAGTGGAGAGAGAGAGGAGGGGACTTTTCAAAGACCCGCTGGGCACGTTTAGCCTTGAGGAAAGAAGGCAGAGGGGAGAGAGAGAGAGAGGAGGGGACTGTTCACAGAGGAGGGGCAGGATCTGTTCTCCATCATTCCAGAGAGCAGGACACATAATGATGGGCTCAAACGAGGGGAAGCCACAACTGCTAGATAGCTCAGTGGTTTAGGACTCTGACTGCAGAACACGAGGTTGGGGGTTAAACTCCATCCTGGGCTTGATGATTGGAGGGGCAGCTTCCATCTCTGCAGTTCAAAGATGATGATGATGATGATGATGATTACGCTGAATATCAGGGAAAAACTTCTCAACTGTTAGAGCAGTATGACAACGGAACCAATGATCTGCTTGTAGGATTCTAGGATTCTACCCTGTTTCCCTGAAAATAAGACCTAACCTGAAAATAAGCCCTAGTCGGATTTTTCGGGATGCTCGTCATAGAAGCCGTACCCCCCAAATAAGCCCCAGTTAAGTGAAACCCCACCCTCCACCCTTGTGTAGCAACCAGAAGAAGATGACGTGACTGTATTTGCATAAATGTAGATGGCTGTACATGAACAGAATAAAACATCCCCTGGAAATAAGCCCTAATGCGGTTTTTTTTTTGTTTTTTTTTGGGGGGGTGCAAAAATTAATATAAGACCCTGCCTTATTTTCGGGTAAACACAGTAAGATGTCCTGGTGGTCTTGGTTACCTCTGCAACCACCACCTGAAACAGAGTGGCCAGTTTCAGGTCACCCAAGGAGGAGGACAAGAGAGGACGAGCATCTGCATAAAAGGGCTTATATCAGTTTAGAGGGGCTGGTGCCGAAGGGGAAAGGGTTGCGATTTGAGCTCCACTGTCGCTCTTCTTCTTACGATTCTTCCTTTCTAAATCAGAAATTGCCTGGACGGCCCCCTCCTAAGAGAGGATGCCTCTCCTGGAAGCACATTTCTCCGCCAGCCCTTCAAATGGAGGATTCAGTTAACAGGACAAGTGGGTCTCCCCTGGGCCCCTCTGCCAGACCACCACAACAAGATGCAGCATGGAGCAGTTAAACCTTCCTTCTCTGCCTTTGGCTCCGTCCATCTCAACCATCGCCTCCCTTCC